TAATAATAATATAAAGAATTACATGCATTCATAAAATGAGAGCCTCCAACATTATCTTACTTGAAGAGGGTAAAAGGGAACAACTGTACAGAGGTAATTACAGGCCTCTGTTTTAGGAACCAGTACTCCCTGAACATACTACTATACTTAACACACAATCATCCATAAACTTTAACATGCATTTACCATAATTTCATATTACTTATCTGTAATAATTTCACTTATTTTTTACACCTACTTCATTTTTAGAATAATTATAAAATTCGTATTGAAAATTCTCAACAAAATTTCAAAAACATAAAAACTTAATATCCTTCCCTATGAATAATTTAAATAGCTTAAAATTAATTACTTAATTTGCTCACAGATAATTATGAAAAATTAGAAAAATTAATGAACAAGAATTTCAGATTTTCTCAAAAAATTAATGAACAAGAATTTCAGATTTTCTCAAAACAAATTGCAGAAATTTTAGCCAAAATTGAAATGAAAACTATAGAATTCGCTGCATATTAAATAATTTAGTTCCTGAGCTAGATTCACACGAATGTAATAATTTTTGAGCTGTTGAAAAAGCGGAAGTGCAAATGATTTTCTGTCACACATACTTGCAAACACTAACTCGGATCGACCTTGAACCCGCTGTAATGCTGAATCCCTAAACGGTAATTCAAGATGATTTCCTTTTCACTAGGCATTCGAACTTCCAATTTATCGAGAGATTACTTTCAATCTGTAAACACTACGCGTGATTATTTTTTTGGAAGCACTTGCAAAAGACCACAGCAGAAGAATGATACTGTTATTTTTTAAACACTCAAAAAACTAATTTGATGATTCACTTCTTTCACATTATCTTTGGATTTATCACAAAACGCATGATTTGAAGAGCTGAATTAAATTTTCCATTGAGGTTTCAGGCTGCAGGAAACTATCCTGCCGGCTTAATTGTCATAATGAAAGCAATATGTAAGATAAAAATATATGAATCAAAATTATAGATTAAACTATAATTTTGATTCATATATTTTTATCTTACATATATATATACACACACACCATCTGTACTCACTGTGTTACTCAGCTCCAATCTGTTACTCTGTTACGGCATGTATACCCACTCTGTTGCTTGACTCCGTGAACTCAGTTTTTTTTATTCCTATATGTTGGTAAATTCTGCATTTTTTGTTTTAAAAATGATTGCATTATGTTGTTCTTATCTTCCGGCTAATGTTTTTATGCCTTTAGATAATCTGCATGCAATAGTTGTAAAACTATCAACAATTTAACTACCAAAAATGCAATAATTTTTTAATCAAGAAGTGCGGCTAAGCCTTTTTTTTTACTGTAACAGCCATATTTGTTTACATTTGTCACTTAGCAGAATAGTGAATTAAGTCCGTTTCTGCAACTTCAGTGTCTTTTTGCCGAGTGGGACCAAAAGTAAAATTTTAAATTTTGTACACCAAAAAAAAATCTGCCTTCTGGCCTGCTGGCCGATTGCTTGTTTTTGCGTAGAAACTCTCAATTTAATTCTAATTTTTTTAAATTGTTTTAACTGTATTTGCTGTTTTATATTTTTCTATATTTTCAATAAAGATATTTTGAGGTTTTGTGTATTTTTGCCTTGTCGCGAAGTAAGAACTGAATTAACTGAATGAGAAATGTATGTCTAATGAACTGGAGGAAACAAATTAAAATCAAATGCATACATCATATTTTTTTTAATTTGATTAACATCTGAATCTTTAACAGATAAGTGCTTGAATATATATGTTGTTGTTGCATTAATTTTCTTTTCTCACTTAAGCTTTATAAAATTTGAACAGAAATGGAATGGAAATGGAGAAACGGAAATGGAATTGCGATTCTTCTCCTCTGGATCATAATCTTTACTCTTGATATTCTACAATATACAATACAAATTCTATAATACATAGTTGCTTTTAACATATCCATTTTATCCATTGCTATTTTGATAGCATTAAAAAAATGAGAAAAAATATCCTTCAATTTATAAAGGAATTTTACTAATTTGATATAAAAATATATAGAATAGGTATATAGAATATATATTAATAGGTATTTCACAGCATTTTGTTTACGAAAATGCAAACATTTGTTTATAAACTGTTCATAACGTTTCTGTGAATTATTTCCCTGATGTTGTACCTCTAATCATAAAGAAGGCATTTTCCATTAAAAGAGAACGTGCTAACATAAATTTTTAAATCAAGGGGAAAAAATAGCATTAATTTGTCACAGATGTTTTCAAAATGTTTTTTTGCTCCTAAGGAAAAAGACTTGTATGTATGATCGCACTCAAAATCGATAGAATTATTCAAAATCTACATCAACCTAAAACTGTTTTTTTGCCCGATTTTAAATAGTTGATTCATATCGAAACCAAGCTAGTTGCCGACTAACAACTCATTTAGTGACATTTTTCTGTCGCTTCACAATTTGTTGATACATTTTGACTTTATTTAACTTTATTTTACTTAAACAAAATGTGTTCTTTAATAATTAGATTATATTAACCGAAATTTTTATCCCAATACGCGATGTATATTCCGTGATTTATACAAAACTGACGAGATATCGGCAAATCGACAACAATACCCGAATGTTATAAGTTAACCGCGATCATACGAAGCTGTGTCTACTATAAAGGATACTTCAGATAAGAAGAGAAAATAAAAGTTATTCAGTTGTTTATCATAAGTGCAGAAAACACAGAGAAATACAGTTACTCATTTGTCGGGAATTTTTAGAGTGAATTCCTCCGTAATGTGTACATACCTGTTCGTAGTTTTTGCATAACTGGAAGTATTTCTATAATGCCGTTTGAGGAACTGTTACGTATCTATTCCGGTTCTTTTAAAGGACAAAACTGAAAATATAATTTTGGGCAAATCTTAAAATTACATACAATGACCCTTTAAATTTTCAAATATAAGTAAAAAAGTCATTTTTCGCACAACAGAAAGCATAGGTAGAAGGCATTTTGCTTAATTATGCAAAGTTTACCACTTACGACTCATTTGGCAAGGGAAAAAGTTATTTTGAAGCGAGCGAAAATGCAAACCCATTTCCAGACTAACTGCCAATAGCTTCTGTTTAAGGATGTAAGACATTTTCTCTCTCCTTCCAAAATGCTTCCATGTTGTAACGGAAGCACAGTCGGGACCTATTCGAGAGGTCCAGATTCAAGTACCGGCGAGGACATTTCTCATGTCTCCTGTTTCGAAATAACTTAATGATTCTCTAATGGGGCCTGAAAGGTGGTGGACAATAATTCGACACCGCCAGGATTTGGCGATTGCATCCCCTCATTCCCAGTCGCCCTTTAAAAGGGGAAGTATATGAGACATTTTCTCCCTCCTTCCCCCCTGTCTTCAGGGTGTAACGGTAGGACACTCATCCGGAATTCGAGAGGTCCAGCTTCGAGTACCGGAAAACATTGGTTTTGCTTCCAAATACCCTTGCTTCCAAATACCTCAATGAAGCTCAACGATATAAAACGAATTTCAGTTTTATTTTACTGTTCCAACTTCATTTTGATGTTTAGAAAGCAGGAAATGACATATGAGTTATCTAAACTGCCTCAGATGTACCATACCATACATAATTGCTGTATGCGCAACCTGGTCCTGAATTTCATCAAAAATCGCAAAATATTTTTCTATTAAGATATTTTTCTACTAAGATATTTATCTATTAAGATTTTCTATTAAGATATTAAGATATTTGGGAATAACGAAGAAAATTTATTTCTGCCAAAAACTCTGAAATTATGAGTTTGGATAATACAGATTGCAATAGTTCTTCACTTTTTATCACAAGAGTGAACATATTATTTAAATTTAATTACCCAACTTGTAACGACTTCCTACTCTAATCTTACCAACAAAAGATTTAAAGCACTACGACTGTGGTGCATTTTCCTGCGGCATGCATCCAAACTGGCACTGGCAGGCTCATCCATTTCAATAATGCGAAATGTCAAAATTTATTTCATTCTTAGTTACAGAGACAAAGATTTTCCAAGCTCTAATTGCCTTGAATTATTAGAAACAAATTTCCATTAACTTAGTTATTTAGTATCAGTATAAAAACATGAATTTTAATAATTTTTTAAATATATGTATACCTATGCTTAAAGATTTACTTTCGAAAGGGACTTAAGTAAAGTGGTTTGTAGAACATTCTAACTTCTAAAATAGCTTCCTGCTTGAAAATATTTGAAAAACTCTGCTATAAATTTGTTTTGTACCAAGAATATCAAGATAGTACAATTCGTAGTCTAGTTAAACATTTATTTTTCAATATATCCCAATCCTTTTAGTCTATTTCTGTACTGAAAAATCAATTTCAACTGTTAATTAACTTCACAGTTAGTACCTAAACATTTAGTACTTATTATTCCGCTATATTATATGTCTTTCACTTATAATATAATATTAGTGCAAAGATAAGAACAAACATAAGAGTCCTCGAAAACGGGAAGATAACATAAAAATGTTTAGGAAGTTCATTTACAACTTTATATCTTATCTCCTGCATTCTTATTTGAGCCATCAGTGCACGGGTCTTAAATCATCGAGAATTGTTTTATGTTCTTAATCTTAAATATAGGATCAAATCGAAAATATAGGTATCTGTTAAAAAATGTGTGTAATGATTATTGTTAAAAAATTAAAAAGTATTAGACAAAATTAAATTAACAGTAGTTGCATTTATTTATACGCATATGATTAAAAAAACAAAACAAAAGAATACAAACGTAGCATTTTTCTTTCAAAAGTAATGGATATTTTTTATATTTGAGAATATATTTTTCGTCTAAATAAGAAAAATTAATAAAAAGTTTAAGTAAAATTTAAGCTAAATTATTTTACTTTGTTTAAAGAGCTTATAGTATAAGGTATTTTCATTATGTGCCAAGGAAACTAAATTTTGATGACGCAAAATTTTGCTTATATCTTATTTTTCCACAGGTAAAACTGTCAGTGATATTGAGACAATGGAACCGACAACACCGATTGTTCGAACTCTGCCAAGTAAGCCGCTTTTTTATCTTAGAAATTTCTCGTAAAGGCAGTCTTTTTGTTTTCTAGATGTCTTGTATGTTTGTTTCATTTTAAAGGTTTTGATGCTTGGTGTAACTTAACTTAATCTTGATAGTCACAAATAAGTGATATCTTAGTCCTGTATATGATCACAGGTGCCAATAGTCTCAGTATTGCAAGAAATTTTTAAAACTCTCAGCAAGACTATTTTTGCTTAACTAAAAATTTTTAAATACAAGATTAACAAACGGAAGATGATTGATGAATATGTAAGTATGGTTCTACCGGTAAGACAAAACGTTTGCGAAAAAAAGCTTCCAATTATGCTATGATTTTGATAAAATATGATAAACATTAATTTCTATGATAATGACAGAAGACAGTACAAATACACTTCTTAATTAAAAATAAAAGTGAAAGAAATTGAAAGCTCTTAGATCCTATATTTGGCCCAAATGGGCGTTTTTTCTATTCTAAAGCACGTACACGTTTCGAGAGCATTTGGGCTAAAAATTGGACTCAAAATATTTAAAAACACCATATCTCTAGAATTTCCAATGGGCAGCCTCGTGCCGCTAGAGATAAAAATGTTTATTCCTTACAATGTTGCCACCGCTTTCTTCAAAATTGTTGACGTTTTTAATCAAACATTCGTTAGAATTTAAAAACATATGAAGTAGACAATAAAGCAAATTCCATATTCCAAATCCGCGCTTCCAGGTGCCCATGTTCGGGTGAAGGACTATGTTACTCAAACTTTGATGACGCTAGGTGCCGTTGTTTTATCACAGTGCGAGAAACATGCATACATTCATGTTGATTCCTCATTATTTATTTTCTTTAAATGTAATTAATGCAGGGCGATAATGTTTGGTGGCAACAATATGAAAAGTGATTCGACGCAAAATGCCGTTTCGAGACTAATAGCCCTTCTGGCCTAACGCCCATTTGGGCTAAAAATAAATATAACATATACGAATTCCCAAGATTATGCCTTATTGACTCTTAATTTACTATTTGTTTGTAGTTCTACTACTTGTTTAAATTGCAATTGTAATTCTCCAACAAATGAACATCAAAGTTCTTGTAATCTGGATTTTTTTATTGCCAAGACAGCCGGTTACCACGATTTAAAAAACTTCCAGGCATTTTTTCCACATTTTTGGAAACACCACAGGTGGATCTCATGAGAAAATTTCGCATTTCAGTTTGTATTCTCAGACATTTAAAACAAAATCTTCATTTACGTACGAAGGTCACTCAGTAGGAATGTGTCGATGTAGTTTACGTCGTGGAATTTGACAACTTTTATAGGCTTCTGAGAAAACGCACAGAAGAATTATCGCAGCAAACGAAATAAAATTTCAGATAATACTCTTTGTACATTCTATTACGCTGTACATTATACCTTTACTTTGGTTCATTTTTTATGGCACGAGAATTTGTTAATTTCTCCGATTTTTTTTAATATTTGTTCATATTCTGCGTAACTGAAAGTTGAATTTAATAGAATTAAAATATATGCAGAATGCAAAAATAAACAAGGCATTGAATAGAAAGAGATACAGATCACATGAAACTAAATATAATACATTATATTAGATGATATCAAACAGGCCTCATAACTAGGGCAGCCAAAACTCAAAAACATGCAGAACCGTGTTAGTTAAAAATTATGTATTAACGATAGAAAGTTGACTTACCAGGGGCGGAGCGACAAAAACCGTTGAACACTCTTTATTTCGGTTCGGTGCTCGAGTTCTGTCCAAAAGGCTGGCTGCGAGGACGATTTCGTGTTTTTCCCCATGTGTAGCTAGGATACAAGCTAGTTTCCCTTAAAAGGATCTCCGCGAGACATCCCTCCTTTTCCGTTTAGTACCAAATGGCGGAGAACGTAATAAATAATAATAAAAATAAACAATTCTAGAACGTCTATGTTACCAACATTAAACTAAACAAACTACGCATTAATAATTTTGTAATTCATAATGCCAACGTACGTTGTCCAAAAATATCTAGTATAATTTTTGATCCCGGAAAAAAATATATTGTGAAAAAATTGTTAATTATAATAAATGTGGTTCATTTGATTATGACACATTCGAGGGCTATCTGATTAGGGGGAAGGATACCTTCATGGAGGACTTTCTAAGAGAAACTGGCTCGTATACACGTTACATATGAAACCACGGAAACGCTCATGCAGCCAGCCCGTTTGCCTAGAGAGCAATCGAACGAGTCAGATATTGTAATTTTGTGCTTTGCCATAGAGCTATCTTCACCGTTGTAGACTGATAGCCTTATGGCTGTGTTGCTGATTGTTTCAGCGTGCTTATGGTAGTTGTTCGACGGCTGTAAACATGTCTTTGGAACTCTGCTGTATAATACTGACGACTAAGAAATTGTGCTTTTGATTCTTCATCAAATGTTTTCATCAATCAGTCTAAATCCATGAACTCGTAGAACGCAACAGTATGTTATATGTCACTCATACACCATAATAGTAACAAAAGTGATTTTATGAATTTCTACTTAGTAAATAATTAAAAATGAATAGTTTTTATTTCATTCTATTATCGTATGCATATCTAATGCATTCATATTCATCTGCAGGTAGAACAACAGTTAGCGAATATCTAACGAAATCTACAACTGTCACTGACTTTCATACACCAGAAAGTAAGTTTCAGTGTCAATTTTTTGCAGTTTGTCTTGAACTTAGATTTATTAAAAGAATACGTAATTTTAACTGAATTCTGAAATCTTTAAAAATTTTAAAGCTCTGCTTCTCGGTTTGGAATATGTATCATTTTTAATGACAATTTCTACACTAGGAGGTTGTTAATTATATATAATTGTTAAATTTGAGTATACTATGGTTTTTATTTTGCTATCTGTGTTTTTTGGCAGTCTATTTTTTTTCTACATTTGTAACAAAATCAAGTATATAATTTCAAAGTTCTTGGAAAAAAACTATTCAGTTTCGAAACATTTTTGCTTTCTTTTACGAAGTACAGGAAGTATTGTAATCACGAAAAATTGCAGTTATCATATTTCAACGAAAATATCCATTTTGGCAGGTCTCGAATCCATCTGAACGATGTTTTTGCGTCACATAAGTAATTATGGATAGATAAAGTACTCTTTTTCCCAAAATAGGTTATAAAATGGATTTAAAATGAATTCAGGAAAGTTTTTTTCGAACGTCTGTACGTACGTAGGTATGTATGTATGAGTTCACATAGCTCAAAGCCTCAGAAAATTGAAATTTCGTATATAGGACTGAAATCCTGAAATCCGCTGAGTTGGCTTCCGTCCCCAGAGTATTACATAATCCACACAGAATTGGTTACCAACTCAGCAGTTTAAAGTCCTTGAAGATATTAAAGCACTGTATTTCTTAGGAAGCCGAATCTCTTATCCATCGTGCATAATACATGCATACTTACTAATACATAATACAAATAGGACTGCTATAATATGTAGCTGTGAAACTCTCTTTTGTGCACTTAAACTTTCATGATTGTGCACTGAAAAATCAGTCTTCTTGGCGGCTGGTCGAATTGCTTGTTTTTGTGTAGAAACTCTTATTTTAATTGTAAAGTTTTTTAGCTTTTTTTAACTGTATTTGTTGTTTTATGTTTTTTATGTATTTCACAATTTTTAATGAAACTGTTTTATGTATTTTTGCCTTGCCGTGAATTGAGAACTGAATTAATTGTTATCTCAATTAATTCAGTTCTCTCTAATGAAGGAATAAAATTCATTAGAGATATATTTCATTAGAGATATATTTCTAATGAAGAAATATATCTCTAATGAAATCCGAGGAAATAAGTTTAATTAAAATGCAGCCAAAAATGTGTATAATTTAATAGGCCATACAAGGAAGTCATCTGGTGCCCACATTAGATTTTTTAATTATAGTTTTAAAATATCAAGAAAAATGTTTACTAACGGTCAGTTAGGTTTTTTTTTTTTTTTTTTTTTTTTTTTTTTTTTGTCTCCGTTTACTGCTGAAAGTTTTCCCCCCCCCCCTAAAGAATAACTGCAAGATATCCAGCCTTTTTATTGCACATATTGTAAGGATCTTAAGTTTTACTAACGTTTATTTTATTTTAAATCTTTACTATCACTTTTTATTTTCTACTTCCGGCCAGAATTAAAAAGCGTTAACTTATTTATGCAAAATTTGTCTGGCGAACGCCAAGTACTTAAGTTGTGGCTTTTTGCCAAGCGAGAGAGAGGAAGGGTTAGTTGTCGAAGCAGGCCGCTTGCCTTAGAAGTTTTACTCGGTTGCTGGTTGCCTTCCAGGCCAGAGGTTTAATCCTCGTGATAATTTTAAAACGTATTGTAGTGTTTACAGTTCTCTGTTACTACATACGGCTTCCTGTTAATATACGGCCAATCTTCCTTGTTTATTATTCCAAAGTTAAGTTAGAGTTTAGTTAAATATTTTTATATTACGTTCAGACCACAAGTAAGTTGGTCTCTGTATTCCGAAGTACGGAAATTATTGTAAAGAGTGAAAAATAAAGGGTTTTGTATACCCTTCCTGTGTATCTTGTCTACTTCTCACAGTTATTGAACATAGCTTTAGTAAGCTCCCTGTTCCGAGTCAGGTCCTTGCATGTTCCCAAAGAAAGTAAGGCGGAACATTGAACCTGATAATATCTCTAACATCCATTCTTACTTTAATACATATATTGCAATGATATGTCAAGAATAATCTTAAAATATTCCAGGGAAAACATTATCCATTTTTCTTGTAACGACAAGTGAGATTTTCGTGTGACTTTTACATAATTCTTAAACTTGATCAATTCTGATAATGACAGTTATTCTACAAACTACAGATTTTATAAATCATCATTTGTATTGTTATTCCCGGATGACAATACAAATGATGATTTTGTATTGTCATCCCGGAATTTCCTATAACATTGAAATAAGACTTTTCAATTTTTATATTAACATCACTTTATAATTAATTTATAATAGTTTCTAATTAATTTATAATAGATTTATGACTCCTTCAAAAAGTACTGATTCCATTTAATTTTATCTGACATTTCGTTTCCTCTCCCCCCCCTTTTTTTTTTTTTTTTTTTTTTTACATTGCACCAAAATCTCTGATTCTTTATTGAAAAGGTTTAACATAAACTTCTGCTGTTGTTGCGTAGTAAATTCCGATTCATTTTACAAATTTTAGGGGTTTTAAATTAATTATACAAATCCAAGAGTCCTTAGTTTAATTATTAAAATACTATTCTCAGCTCAAGAGAGTTTCAGATTAGGAAAGGATTCCCGTTTTAATAAATAAGGATAATTTTCTACGTGTTTTATTAATTAAAAGTATAATTAAATAACATTTCTGCTCTAACGTTCTACCTAATATATCTGAAAATCTTCATTTTATAACAGAAGTGCAATTCTTCTTTTCAATTGATTAAAAAAACAGAGAATTACATTCAAGTGTTACGTCTTTATCCTATCTCTTGGATTCCTTGGGACTATCTTTCTTAGCACGTCTTTAGTTAAAAAAGAGGAGTTTTCTATAGTATTTAAGATCCGTCCTATTTCCCAAATTTTCCCATGGATTGGTAGTGAGGTTTTTCTTAACGAGCTAATCGTGAAAAGGGTATAAGGTATTTTCCCCTCTGCTTTCTGCATGCCTTTGTGGTGTAAAAGTTAGCACACTCAGCGCATATTCGAGAAGTCCACGGTTCGAGTCCCAGAGAGGGTATTGCTCATTATTCGTGTCTCCCACTTCAAACTAACCTAATAGCTCTGCAATGGCGCCCGAACAAAAAAAGAGTGGATGATGATTCTTCACAACCAGGATTTGGCGATTGAATCCCTTAATCCCCAGTCGCCCTTTAAAAGGGGAAGTATATAAAGTATTTTCTCCCTTCTTTAGGCATGGCTTCGTGGTGTAACGGTTAGCACACTCGGCGTGCACTCCAGATGTCCAGGGTTCGAGTCCCGGCGAGGGCATTACTCATTTTTGATGTCTCCCGCTTCAAACAGCCTAATGACTCTACAGGGGTTTAAAAATTTGCCTTTTAGAGATTCAAAATTGTTTGCATTGTTTTCTACGACTTTTCTACCTTCTTCATTCTGTTTTCGAAAGTTCGAACTCGAAAGCATCGAAAGCGAACTTCCTCGAGATTTCTAGTTTCCAATGAACTCGAAAGCAAATTCTCTCTCTTTTTAACTTTTTAAGCAAACTCGAGAACTCTAGTTTTAGTTTGAAATGTCGTCGCCCGTTATTTGGAATATTTTTTATTTACGTTTAAAATATCGTGGCTCGAGATTTCTATTTTTGGTAAAAGTATAGTTTAGGGTACCCCTTGGCGATTTTGGCGGTACATGGATACCGATTTTGTGCAATTCTTTGACTCGTTATTTTGGCTTGCGAAGCGGCAATTTTTGCGCCAAAAATCGCCGCTACACAAAGCCAAAATAACAAGACAAAACAATTGCACAAACTCGGTATCCATGTACACATCGACTTATTTTCACTTAAAAAAAAAAAAAACCCGAATTGCACAAAAATGGCATTGCGCACTCCTTTGACTTTATCCATGTACACGTCGACCTATTTTCACTTAAAAAAAATCCCCGAATTGCACAAAAATGGCATTGCGCACTCTTTTAACTTTATCCATGTACACGTCGGCCTATTTTCACTTAAAAAAAATCCCAGAATTGCACAAACTTGCATTGCGCACTCCCTTTACTTTGTCCATGTACACATCGATATATTTTCACTTAAAAAGTCAAAGGAGCACCAAAGTCTACAATATAGGCAAACAAAAAATACATAATCTCAATAAAATACATTTTAAACCAAACAATAAAATAACATAAAAAAGGAAAAACATGTTATACATTTAAGCACTACCAAAAGCAAATATTCACTTACCATGATTTTCGAGTTCGCTTCGTACACCCAGAGCGACGTAAAAATCAAAATATCAATCATACTCAAATGACTTTTTTCAAACCAGGTACTCTTTCTGATCGAACGCTTCACATAGTGACCATCTGAACCTTTCTTCCTACAAACCCATTCAAATCCATCTAAACGGTTTTAACACAAACCACAAAAACGCTTACAAAACATCCCATGATTCAAAATTTCCCAGAATCATGCACCCGATTACGTCACAATAGGGTTTCCATAACATTCAACTACTCAGGCTACTATAAATGAAACAACAACTTGGCGATAAATCAAACAACAACTTCGCCATAATACAAGGGTACCTTAAAATCTACTCTACCCCTAGTTTTCGTTTGAAATATCGTCACTGGTTATTTTTTTGCAATATTTCTCCATTTTTTTAGTACGATGGATTACAGTATTTGGCAGCTAACTAATGACGAAGAGGTTGCCATAAAATTCCTTCAGGATAGATTAATAATTCATAGCAACATAGTTTATTCTCAAAATCACCCGATGAAGGCTCAAACAAGGTTCTTATTTAGTGCTGTTACGTACTTTCTTGCTATGAAAAAAAAAAAAGAAAAAAAGGATTTAGAAACAAAACATGGTTTAAGTGCACGGGTCTTACTTTCCTCAGTGCCGTTCGTTTCATCTATCTGTGGTGTCAAGAACTGACGTCGATTAAATTTTGCGAACTTCAGCTAGAAATGAGCCATAATATGACAGTAGATTGGCATACCTACTCGAAGGAGTTATGTGCAAATAGTTTGATGTCTAGTAAAAGAATTAAAATCGGTGGAGCTAACAAAATCGTGTAAATAAACAAAAGTCTTTTTAGAAGAAGGAAAAACAACGTTGGACGTATTCTTCCGGAATAATGAGTATTCAGAGGGTTTGTGCCGGGAAAGCAAAGAATGTTTTCTAGTCGCCGTTGCTGACTGTTGTGCTACGGCATTGATGACTGCCAATCAAGAAAACATCGCGGATGATAGCATTATATTTTCAGACTGCTGGAAAGAAAAACTAAAAAATTCTAGGTATGAACATTTCACTGTGAATTATAGCTACAATTTTATAGACCTAGAAACTGGGTGCCATATCCAAACTGTTGAGCGATTGTGAAGCAGTGCTAAATGGTGAAATAAACGCCAGTGAGACACTGCTCGCCACCATTTAAAATCATATGTATGTGGCGTTGACTATATTCATAAACTGAAAATTTTTCTACAATATTGAATGGTATTCGTAATTTTATGCCACCTGTTTAAATTGATTTTTGTTTAGTTTTGATATTTTTTATTTATGTGTAGAATATTCTAAGTTACAAAATTAAAAAGAAAAATTTACTTTCTTTAAGAATTAAGAAATTATTTTTAAAAAATTACTTTTCGCGGAATTTTTTTTATTCCTTTAAACTCTATTATCATTCTATAATTTAATACTTGGCCAGAGCTGGTGGCAAAAAAGTGGTGCATTTTTAACTGACGCTGCTCTAACGGAGCAGTACCCTTTCCAGCTAAGCAATATTCATATGCGTAAGTAATCAATAATTAAGTTAATATGTCGACTTTTACTAACTACATTGAGATAAATGATTTGTCGCCTTACTTATTTTCTTGTCCTGTTTCCAGCAGTAAACTCCGTTCAGAATGATTTGAGTTTAATGTGTATTTACAGGACCATATAATATTAGTAGAAAACAGAAAAACGTTGATTAGTTTTAAAGGGTTCAGAAATTAATCTATATTTCAGCTTATATGCAAGAGAATAGTTTCTATTAGCATAAAATTTTCTCCTTTATATATAAGTAATTTTCTAACTTCTGACGCATGTTATTTAAAATACTTCGCATTTTATTTCATGTATTTATATAATTAAATGTTTTGCAAGCACATTTCTAATTTCTTAATCCTTTTCTAGCTGTAACGATCGATACGGAAGAAACAGAAGCCACGACGAGAACAACTGTGTTTACTATAACAAGTAAGATAATTTTACCTTTCCAAGACACAGGTATTCTTAATAGATAAATCTTCTGAATTTATTTAATGAATAATGTATCTTAAGTACCCAACATTAATTATATAAAACTTGAATTAGGATTTTATCAGAACACCACAACGAGAACAACGGATTGCTCTACAAAAATAGACTGTTTTTACAGTTACAAGAAGCAAGAATTCCTTAGTAGACAAATCTTCTGCATTTATTTACTTTATGACGTAGCTTAAGTACCCAAAATTATGTATATTAAAAACTGAATTAGATTTTTATCAGAACCCACACAGAGAACAACGCAGTTCTCTATAAAAATTAGCTATTTTTACAGCTGCAAGACACAATTTCTTAATAGATAAATCTTCTGAATTTATTTACTTTATGACGTATGTTAAGTGCCCAAAATTATGTATATTATAAACTAAATTAAAATTTTATATTTTTTTTCCAATAGTCTCGGTTAAATTAAGATGTCTCGAATAAAAAATCGCTGAGCGAACACGTTGTGTCACACTGTTTAACTAAGATTTTGTCACACTGTTGAACTAAGATTTTGTCACACTGTTGAACTAAGATTTTGTCACATAACTCTTAAAAACTCTTTTCTTTAGCATAAAAGCCCGCCCCACAAGGTATCACAATCTGTCCTTTTAAGTTAGTTATAATCAACATCTTTACCCTTTACTTATGTTGTACTATGCGCATTTACTATTTAATTAAATGAAAATTATTGTCATGACTTTGCAAATATGTTTCTTTCTATCAAGCTGTAAATAACTTTATTTTAAATCGCAGTCTGGTTCATCGTTAAGTCGAAAAGTTAAGAAGACACTGTATTAGACTATGTTTTCATTTGGATATTGTTTTATGATTATGCAGCCGAGTAATTAAAATTAATGAACTTTAAGCAAGACGATACTTAAGTGAAAAATTAGGTTTGTGAGATTTTAAAAAAATTTTATATTTCAAAGGAAATCACGATGACGAAATAATAGAAAAATTCCTCGACACATCAGTTCAAAAGACTGGTTATGAAAATAATGCGATAAGATATCTGGGTAAAAGTATATTTACAGGTACCCCTTGGCGAAAATTGGCGATTTATGACGGTACAGGGATATCGAGTTTGTCCAATTTTTTGACTTGCTATTTTGGCTCGTGTAGCGGCGATTTTTCGAAAAATCGCCGCTACTCAAAGCCAAAATAACAAGACAAAGAATTTCACAAACTCTGTATCCATGTACACATCGACCTATTTTCACTTAAAAAAATCTCAGAATTGCACAAACTTGGCTTTACGCACTCCCTTGACATTATCCATGTACACATCGACCTATTTTCACTTTAAAAAAAATCAGAGAATTGCACAAATTAGGCATTCTGCACTCCTTTTTTCCATGTACACATCGAACTATATTCACTTAAAAAGGTCAAAGAGCAGCCAACAAAAAAATATATAATCTCAATAATCTACATTTAAATCAAACAATGAAGTAACATAAAAAAGGAAATTCCTCTTTGCACTATACGAAGGAAATATCCACTTACCTTATTTACGAATTACAAGTCTTCAGTCAAACAAAATACCTTAACAGCATCGAAAATCTTCCTAAAATTATCTGAACTATAATCTGTATACTGGCGTCGCCACATAAATTCACAAAACAAGAGTGAAAAATATTTTCTTAGCGCTGTATCGTCCGACCATATGCATTTCCTTCCTACAAACAGTACACTTAATTATGGCTACAAAGTTAACCATCATTTACACACCAATCAAGTAATGCTCTTTTTCCCTTTCTTTCCAAATCGTACAGAAACTTCAAATTAATCTTACCACATTCAGCCATTTTACCGTCTAAACCAGAAAACATGCAATGTACTTCCTAACCAACACAAGCCCTTACAAATTCACCGCAATCATGCAACCGATTACGTCATAATAGGGTTTCCATAACATTTAACTACTCAGGCTACCATAAATAAACCACCACTTGGCGATAAATGAAACAACAATTTCGCGGTAATACAAGGGGAACCCTTCTCTCTACTCCAACCAACATATAAACGTGTATTCACAGATAATCGTAAAATAATGAATCTGAAAAAAAAAAACATCAATTCCTCAGTCATATATTTTAGATTTGTAAAGGATTGGATTAGATGAAGTGGCACCACACAAAAGCGCAGATATTATGAGTATGTTGTGATGTCACGCTTATGCATAACTGGCGCTAAATCGCGCAGGTTCATGGTCGACGGTATAATAATATGTGACATTGAGTGCCAAAAAGAAATGCAAAATGTAGCTCTACTTGGGTTCAATACCTCGAAGAAAACTTCTTATGTCTGTTTTTCAAGACCCTCTATCGTATTAAATTTACAAATTTAAAAGTCAAATTTAATTAAATTTAAGACATGGCATGTGAACATATTTCTACATTATGCCTATTAATTCAATGAATAATAGTTAAATGTAATCTTCATAAACGTATCCTAAAGTTTCGCACCAGCATTTATCTATACTGCAGAGGAAGATAAAATAAAAATTAATTCGTTAACATAAATCTTTAAACATCATGAAATGAATGAATTGTAAATGTCTGCTGGCGGAAAACTAAAGTGCTTACGGTATTATTTGAACAAGTATTTTGCAATCAGTAGTGAAATCAAAAATGCATAATAATACTCGTATATATATTCATACACTGCACTGACGTTATAACTTGAAATTCTTAAATGATGCTTGGTTACCTTTGATAACAGCCTAAGCTTCCCAAACTCAAAATTTGGTAATGATTTTATGATTTTCTTTCACAAGTATTAACAGAAGTATTAATGTTGAATCACAAGTAAAAAAATATCGCAAATCTGGGATTTGTGACTAATTATATTGCTCTTCGGAGAAACTAAAACACTACGAAAATTTAACTTTTTTTTTTTTTTTTTTTTTAATAAATGCCTTTTTTTGTTAACTGCAGAAACTGAAATACTACAAAAATTTAACAGACCGGAAATTTGGCTCACTGATTATTTATAATGACAAATGCAAGTGTTTAAAATGTAGCTACCCTGGTTAATAGGCAAAAAATAGCACCTTGATAACATTTTTCACAAGTGATTTACGATTTATGTTAGATCTATAATTTGTCTTTGAAATCTGCTAGGTAACCTACTTGGACTACAATTTTTTAATTTGCGACTAATTTCATTCATTAGCTTTGAAATTATGTTATTCCGTATTTTGCTTTGTACTATGGATGATTACGCGATTGATTGGATAATTATCAATGATTTGTAAAAATCGAATCCAACTTTACTTTGTTTTCTAGACTTTTTGTCTAAAAACACAGAAATGTTTAATCTACCTCTTAAAGTCAAATCTTGGTTACAATATCAAAATGAATTTTTTAATTAATTTTATATCATGTTTGTGTCTTGCAAGAAATTATATTTAAGGTGCTTTTAATATGTATTTATATATATATATACATATACAAGAATAATGAATAATATTTTGTGCGTGCTCTTAAATAGCCACTCGCCGAGAATGTCTCACGCCTCCTGCTCCACGTAAGTAATCAATATTCTGTATTCAGATATCATTTTAAAAATATTGTACTTAGATAGGTAATGTTAGTAGAATTATGAATAAAATTGTTGTATTTTTCTGAACAATGTAGCACGAGATAAGAGAAAGCTATGCTGGAAAGTAGGAGTACAGGGGCAAGTACATTTAACATTGAGTAAATAGGTATCTTGGTAATACGGCGAAATATTGCCAAGCTAATAACGGTTTTGGCGACTTAGGTTGTCGCCAAATTTGACTAAAATTCGCGAAGTCAGCAAATTTGGCAACATTTTCAGTCCGGTACTAGTATCACCGTAATAGGCCTCCTGGGACTCGAGAGCTGGTTAAAGATAGAGAGAGTGGGACATATACCTGCTTACCTTTGTTAGATACTAAGTGTCTCCATCCTCCGCCACCTGTCACCTGTATCATCGTAATAACTATTGTAACTGAATAAATGTAATTGACCACTATGTTAGCTGTAACCGTAATTTCATCCTCGTATTACTTTTCAGTAATTTCCAGAAGCAGAAAGTATGAGAAATATCTCGGCGGCCTGTGGAAAACTATTTAAGGCCGAAGATGGAGCATCTGCTCTCAGTTGCTTAGTTACTGTTGTTGCGAGTTGCAGTTCCGCATAAACTGAGATAAATATGAGTTAGCTTTCTCTTTAGATGTGCATTGCATTGCCTTGTGTTTAATGTTCTTAGTAGTTTGAAGTGTAACTACTGATTATACTGTGAACACCTGCATAAATGTTTCTGCGTAAAATTCCAAAGTTCTGAAACATTTCTTTTGATAAAAATAACTTTTTATTGATGTGGCACGCCATACAGACATATATTTCTGAATCCAGTCCCAATACCAGAAGAGACCCCAAAATTATTTGCACTTTAATGAATGCACTATGATAATATTAGAAGCGTTTTCACGGAATCATGATTGTCACACATGATATGTTTAAACGAAACAAAATTTGGATATTATTCCAGTAATTAACTGTGAATAAAATATTTCTGCAGTCTTCGATTTTAGTAAAATACATTATCAAACACAACAATAAACCCATCATTTAAGATACCACTTTATATGAAGTTATCAGTACTATTTTGCAGAAAATGTTATTTTGTACTATGAGTCTCATTAAACAAAGCCAGTAAAGAAGTACCCGAAGGTCATCATAGCATGTAAGAGCACCTATGCAAAAGCTCCGGAGACAATCTCGGATCATTAACCCTGATAATCAAAACCAAACTTAGATTCTTTATCATTATATATTGGTTGGTGAACATAGTAATATTTTACTATCAACAGTGAAATTTCACGCATTTCTAATCAAAATTCATTGAAGTACTTTAAAATTAAGTGCTGAAAAGTATCATTCCTAATATTCTTGAACGAAAATGTTGTGACTGCAGTATTTGGATATGTAATTAAAACTTTCTCTATCTTAATTCTTAATATTTGAAATCTCTCCATCAAAAAGTTTAAATTGACGTACTACGTATTTTTAGTTAACTTGGCGTTTCAATATACTTTCATCATACACATATTTTAAGGAATAATCTACATATGGTCACTTAACCTGTTCCGCCAAACTAAGTTAATGACACTACAGGGTTAGGAAGTCATCCTAGTAGTTGCTAGCAATCTGAAGGTTAGGCCACCATTCTACGTTTTACATTAATCTTTAGTTTCTTAGATATAATTATTTTCATTCACTTGCTTCATTATCTCTAAGATGGCCTTGTTCCAGTAATAGTCCGTTAGAAGTCTATTCACAGGATATGTGATGTATTCGGAAGGAAAGAACTGCTGTCGTATGTGCTCTGTCAGAGGGCAGAAGAACAGGTAATGAAGTGAATCCGCTTCTTTTACCGCGAAAACCGCAAGTTAACGTCCCTTCTGAGGAATCGTCTGTAATATGCTGGGAATTTCCCGTGGTTGGTACAGGCTTGGAGAAAGAGTCGGTTGCATTTTGAGCCTCTTGAGGGTAGGTATTGGGAAGATGTTGTAAGTAAATCTTCCTGTCTATTCTTCCTGCCATCGTGATGACCATGTCTCTTGGAATGTTGCCTTGAGGAGCGAGCCTTTTCGCAACTTCTGCGGAAAACGGAACTTCCTTGTCAATTTCTGGTTTGAGAGCTGCGGTCTTAACTAGTTTATCAGCCCGTTCATTGCATTTCTGCCCGGAGTGTCTTTTTATCGAGTTGATCTTTAAAGGGAAGGAGGAGCCTAACGTCAAGAGGATCTCTTTAAGTGCTGCCGTGTGCGGATGTTTTGGAGGAAAGGAATTCAGCGCATTCAGAACGCTCATGCTATCTGTGAAGAATGAAGTGTGAGCTGCTGTTCTCCGCCTGGAAGACTGAAGCGTGGTTGCTTAGACGGAATTGTGCTTGATAAATTTCTTCATTATTCGAAAAGACCGTGAACGAAAAGACATATTGACTCGAAAGAACTCATTGTTCGAAAAGACCCTACTCGTCCTGTAATGTTTTATCCGTCAGAGAAAAATCTCTCTTTGTTGTCCTGAGGGTGGCGATTTGCACCAGGAAAGGATGGCTAGATCTCTTGGTTGTAAGACAGGGGGATCTTGGAAGCATTCTATGCTGGCATAGGATAGATGTAAATCTTACTTCACATCTATCCTGATGCAAATCGCCACCCTCAGGGCAACAGAGATTTTCTTTGACGGATCAAAAATTTCAGGACGAGTAGGGGCAGCGTTCACGGCCTTTTCAAGCAATGAATAATCAACCTTCATATATATAAATTAGTACTAAATTCATTGAAAAATTAATATTGAAATGGAGATAAAATATAGCTGTGTATTTTGAAAAGTACGTGTTTCACGTTCCTGAAATAATTTTAAAATACTCAGATATAATGAATGAAAACTGTAATAAAAACTCATAATTTTCTATGTACCATAAGGGAAAAGTATTAAATGTAATTTTTTTCAGTAATATGATTTTTTTTCTTGGCATCTGCACTCGCATTATTGTGTCAAAAGTATGCTAAAAAAATAAAGCTCTGTAAGGTAAAACTTTGCTGTAAGGTAAACTTTATTAGTATTATGCCTTATTTTATGTAGTATTTTTACTGTTTTACCTTACTTTATTTATGTATTATTTTCCTTTTAATACTTTTAGTATTGTTATTTAGTATTTGCCTTATTTTATGTATTATTTTTACTGTTTTCTCAATCACTCTGTTAACTGCTCATATTCATAATTAATGCACAATTCAGCTGATTATAACTCAGTTATACCTGTATTTGGCAATCCACAGTACTCACTTATTGTTCACGTTCTGGATGTCTATTGTAACCATCTATCTATAATTCTGTAAATGTGAAACTGAAATTGTTCTCCTCACCCGCAATGCACCCTTCTTCCACCACTGCACCACTGAGTCGCCGCCCAGCATTTGTTTGCACTGCCTCAGCACAATATGCATCAAAGTGCCCCAGCACAATATGCACCAGTCTTGAGCACAATATGCACCAAAGTGTGTTATGTGGAATAAGCTAGTTCCGTCAGCGGGGCCATGTGACCGATATGCTACCTCAGTGGATCGCTGCTCGCTGTCGGTGGAAAGAAAGTAAAGTAAACTGTGCTAAAAATTTTGCTAACCAATGAGAAACAAAAAAAAATAATTTTACCAAACAATAAATGTTCCTAAAATCTATTTGAAATAGACGTATTTAAGAGTGAATTATATATGTTTTGAAACTTATTACTTTTCCACAATATGTTGACTATTTTGAATCTTTGTGCTTCATACAATCAAATTCCAATTTCGCTGAGATGTTACTCCATTAGATTCCATTGAACAAAATGCATTTCCATTCTTTTTAACTTTACGTTTTATACTTTATTAGTATCATAAAAAATAATAGTAGTATTATTTATACAATGTTATACGTTTTTAATACTTATAAAATACTAATTTATGCAGACGTTACTATTTATGTTTCGGTAATATAAATTTTCTTCTTTTTCCGCGATAAGCATTTCACTACTGTAATAAAAAATTTTGAAAAATCACATATAATTTTGAAAAAGGGAGTATATTTAATTCTAATTAAGATTTTAGATATTCATATTACATATTAATTATGAATATGTTTTCATTAATTATTTTGATAGCTGTATTTCAATCCTTAATTTTATTCCTTTTCTGGTTTACTTTTCATATTTTAGTTTCATGCATTAATATATCCTTTATGTTTGTAGAAACTACAGTCACCAGCTGTTACTACATTAGTAAGTACATTTTAATTTTTTAAAACTGCATGCAGTAGGCCTATTGTTATCCCCATCTTTAGTTTTATTCAAAGAGGTTTGTTATGAAAACTGAAGAGCTTGATTCTTCCGGATGTAAATCGATGATCGTTTAAAATGGCTTGTTAGTGAATAGACTTGATTAAAGTTAAGATTAAGTTGCTCTGTATGGGTTTTATTTAATGCTTTTCATATTTACGTTAAGATTTTAATCAAATTTTTAATCGAAAATTAAAAATTATGAATAGTAAATGTTATTAATTAAGGACATATTATTAATTAAGGACAGTAATTATAAATATTAATTATGGGCAGTAATTATAAATATTATTACAGGATTATAAATATTATTATTAGTAATTTATCTGTCATCTTTTTGCATGAATTTTAGCATGGTTACTTTAAATTGAAATCTGAAAAAATTTTTGTGTGTTTGATTTCTTGACTGAGCCTTTATATTAATATAATATGATTTAATATTTATATATTATGTCCTATTTTATGAACGCTTGATCGAACGTTATGGATTCCGTGCACTATCGACTTCATTTTCAATGTTAATGAATTCTATTTAAATTTCAGTTTATTATTCTTTATTCATACAAATATTTCAAAATTTGATAAATTCTAGTTTATGATATGTCATTAACTAAAATATACCTGTTAATCATTGGTAAAATATCTGTAATATACCTGTTAACCATTGGTAAAAATCAGGTATCAAAACGACCGTCAACTAAACTGAATTTTCATAACATATTCGTAGCGAAACTTTCTTATCTTCGCAAGTGGTGTTATAAAATTATAAGAAAAATGAAATGATTTAGTTTACTTTTGTTTGCATAAGGAAAAAGAGCTTGTTGCTCCGATTTCAATAGCTTCTTACTTAATTGTTTTTAACACATACGATCTCCCCGTGCACCACAACTGTACAACAAGGAGCTTACAAAAGTATAAAATATTACACGCATAAATAAAATGAATAGAAAGAGAGAATAGCAGTTTAGAATTCACAAAAACTGATAAGTTCACTAGCCAAGCCACACCAAACGTTTTCCAATCGTTCTGCAAGCACAATCTAGGGTTATCGATAAAAGAGCAGGAAAAAATTAAATGTTAGGCATCTTGAGGTACTCTTTTTGAACATTCCCATAAATCAATCTTAGATTGAAACTAAACAGGTAAGATAATACTTTAAAATTAATAAAGATGAAATATTCGGAATGCAGTCTGTGATAAATAGAAGGAATGAATTTTTTGGTGCCCTCAGCATTACAAGCTGATATACATTTCTCATTCCACTTAGTTAAAAACTTCTTATAATAAAAGGATCTCCAATAACTCTTTGTTATTGAAGATTGAATTTTTTTGGAATACTAATATTGACATCTATGGTAAATTTAGAGCATCCTTTGCTAAGAAACAAGCTCTTTCATTTCCACAGAATCCATGGTGACCACGCACATGAGCAAAACGGTTGTCAATTCCTCTATTTCTAAGCGAACTGACAGTTAATAGTTTCGATTGCTAATTTGTCTCTGTTGGTAATACTGCTCAAAAGGTGAAGAGAAGGAACAGAATTAGAACATATAAGTACCTTGATGATGCCGTCCCATTATCCTTGATCCACTTAATGGTAAGATAAATACTGAGAAGTTCTGCCTGAGAAACAATGCATTCATTTCGAATACTGTGATCAAAATGGCAAACCTCAAATTGGTCTTAAAAAAGAATAAATGCAAGGCCAAACTTATTTCATTTTACAGCCATCTATGAACCATATGAAAAGACTTTTCATTGGTCTCTATAATTGCAGAAATTTAAGGGCTCTAAAGCACGTGGATGAGGAGTATCGAGAAAGGGGACATTTCGTTTAGACAGTCTTTCAAAGTATCATTTGCCAATACCTCGAAAATAATATTCCTATATTCAGTTTTGAAATCAATAGGCGCAATTCCTGCAAGAACAAAAGTAATCTCATAACTTAAGATTCTATAAGCATTAATAATCCGAAGAAGAATTCTCCGTTGAATTTTTTTTCCAGATTTCTTTTACTATCTTTCTTTGCAAAAACATGTCCCCAAACACGAGAGCCGAACGAAATGAAAGGCACAGAACGTATACATCAGTTTCTTGTCTTTATAGCTTGCTCCAAAAGTATTTTTGGCAGTTCGGTCAAAATCATTGATGAATTGTTCACATTTAGTAGAAAGAAACTCGACGTGCTTTTTGCATGCTAATTTTAGGTCAAGCATGACACTAAGATAGTTAACACTTCCTACAAGTTCCAACGTCGAATCATCGAGTATCAAAAGCCTCGATGATACTCGATGATTCGACATTTCTGGAATATTTTGTTCGTCCAAATTTCTGGAAACAATTATATGGTTTTACTTTCTGAAGGACTTAAAGTGAGTTTATGAGAGATCGCCCAATAGGAGACGAAATCCAGCAATGCTTGTAATCTCGAAAGAAAATTGAGTCTTGAGTCTTGAGGAGCCTTGAGGACAGCCTTTTTACATTGAATAAACCTTACCCTCGTACTTCTTATTCTTAAACATTATCACGCCTATCGAATAAAGTTTAAGAAACACTTCCTATATATTAATCGAAATCAGTCCGTACACAAGTGACCTTTAATTTCTTATAGGGTGAATCAAGTTTGCATTGGAATTCCATTAGACCAAAACGATTGCATATGTTCTAGAGAAAACGCAATTCTTCTTTTTCACCGCTGAAATGACGGATTAATTCTTCTATAATGCCACTGCGCTTTGTACGCATTAGTAATTTTTCTTTCAGCTTTGGAAATTTCCCGTATTTCATAAACTATACTTCTTCAAATGCTAATAATCATGATAGTCGATTTTCTGTTACCCAAAATAAACTTTTTAGCTCCTCATTTTTACTTCCTTGTTCGAAATAAAGAAAGTATTGTAATCACGTAAAATTTCATGTACTATATTTCAACGGAAATATCCAACTATTGGACTCCTCCAAGGCAACCATCTCTTTAGGCGATAGCCCTCCTGTGGTTTGCTATATTCATATAACCTAATCCTAAGTCAATTTTGTTAAGCTCACCATGGGTTTGATTTTCATCGTAAAGAAACCTGATGTGTTTTAACTTTTTTCGCTTAGCATTTATTCCTATTGTCTTAGTCAAAGTCTTCCTTAGTCAAAGCCTTTAAAAATTCAAGTAATGCAAATGAAATAGGCTTAAATTTCCAAACTGGCTTTTGTTTTATCTTAATGATATAGAAAATATGCAACTTCATATCTGATATGCCTCACATCTGATATGCATCCCAATCTTTTTTATTGCCTCAGAATATTCTGTTTATCCAAGCGAATTATATTTGTTGCGTCATTCTAAAATTGTTTGAAAAAATTAATTGTTTATTTACCGAATCTTTAATCGTGTGTCGTTTTATTATATTATATTATATTTTCTTATTTGCGACCTAGGTACATCTGTAACATAAAATGCATTTCTCAATGAATATAATTCAAAATTATCATTTGCTTTTCTCCGCAGAGAAGGATATTTGCAGCAAGGAGCGTTTGAGTCGTTGGGTGGCTGCCATCAAAGCTTGTGTAACATCGCTCCTGAATGAACAGCGGCATAAAATTGAAGACCTCCTGGAAGATCTCCACCTGAATGTGTATGTTTATATATTAATATCGAATTTGATAGCATTCTAACGGAAGTGTGTAATATGACAACTTGTCTGTCTCTTATTTTTACATTCAGTTGTGTAAACCCATAAGTGTATAATTTCCAGCAAAAGAAACAAATTTATTATTTCGTAGAGATCTATTCTTAATTCCAAATGCAATTGACATCTTTGACATTTTTAAACTAATTACAAGAGCTAGAATGCAACATCACATTTAGAAGCTTATTTAAATAAAAAATGAATTATTTAAAACATAACTATGCGCTTTTTTAATTGAATCGCCTGCGCATGAGAATTCCAACAAATATTTTCTGCAAACTTACAGGCGTAAATTTCTATTTCGCCAGAGCAATGAATTCTGATTAAAACTATTCTTAGAGATTTAAAAATATTTTTTAATTAAAATATAATTAAAATTTAAAATTTTTAAGTTTATGATTTAAAAACTATTTCAGCAAAACGAAAATACATGCAACTAATTCAAACATGTAATGTAAATTCACAGAAATCTTCTCTTCTGTTTCTAATTTTCAAGCGGAGACTTTCCTGCATAATAAATAATATTGATTCTATTAGTACTCTTAAACCGTTACATATATAGGAACATATTCCATTCGTAAGTATTAGTGGAATTACAAACCAGCAGAAATCCAACAATATATTCTGTGGGATAGTTCCTGTGCGAAGCTGTAAAAAGTTTACTAGTAGATGCCGGTTTTATTTTGTTTTGCAAGGTAACCAAAAAACGTTCTTGCTGTTTTGAACAGACAAAAAGAAAAAGTCAGAAAACAATTAATAATTACCGCTAATCCTCAAAGTGATCACCATCGGCATCCAGTGCTTTTTACCAACAAGTGGCGATGCCATCGCGGTAAAACTTAGGAGTCTTGGACTCAATGAAGTCCGTGAGTGCCTTTTCGAGGTCTGGTCGATTGTTGTTCTCACGAAGATGGTCGTCCAGGGAATGGAAAAGATGGTAGTCTGTTGGCACGAGGACTAGGGAGTATGGTGGATGAGGTACTGTCTCCCAGCCTAGTCGATGAATGGTGTCCCTGGCCTCCCGAGCCATGGAGGAGGAGTACACCCTTACGATTGACCAATGGTGGCTCTTTATGCATCAGTGCCTGATGCACACACGTTCCAATTGCTGCAAGTACAGGCCTGCCGTGATGGTTTGGCCGACTAGCAGGAGCTCATAGTGCACCACTTGGCGACTAGTTCACCAGATACAGAGCCATGATCTTACGTGGGTGGAGAGAAGGTCTCGCAGTGTGAGGCACAGGGTCCTGTGGTGATAACCAATGTCTTGAAAGCTTGGATGTGTCATACTGGACCCAATTATCATCGCTGGTGAGTACTTGATCAAATATGGATGCATCGCCGTGCCTAGTAAGCAATGACAAACAAACAAAGACACGCTGTTGCTTGTTTGCATCAGACAGTGAGTGGGGTACCCACTTGCTCAGCTTGTATACCTTTCCTATGCGGTGCAAATGGAGTTTGATCATTTCATCAGGCACTTGGAAATGTGCAGCAAGCTCACCATATGTTTGGCTACTGTCACCCTCCATGGCTGATCTCAGGGCCTCATCGTCCAGCGTTTGTGGCCCACCGCTGCGTTGTGCATCACTAAGAGACATATCCCATAATGTGAACTTCTGGAACCATTGCCTAGCGGTTTGTTTGCTAACGACTCATCCCCAATGGCCTCGCAAATTCGGCGACTTGATACTACTGCTGATAGGCCCACTTTAAAATCATACAGCAAACAACTCGGAACGAGCGCCGTTGACGCGTCCATTTCAATCAGTCGCTGTGTCCGGACTCCCATGCTAACCACTTCATCGCCAGGTTTGGCGACTATTTTATTTTGCAGTTCACTCTTTCAATGTCATATCAGAAACGGAAAGAACTTTTTTGGTTACCTTGTATTAACTTATTTATATCTCCTTTTTCATGACATAAACGTCTGTAGTCTAAATATTTAAACATCCCATTCGTTACATTAAATTGCTAACCAATAAACTGCTGCTGCTAACTTTGCAGTATAAAATCTTTATCTTTCAGATTTTATAACAGTGAAATAAATAGAAAAATCTAATGTGAACCTCACATGACTTCCTCGTACAGAATATCAAATTATACGCATTTTCCTGCATTTATAATTAACTTATTTCCTTGAATTTCATTAGATTACAGTAAATTTAAATCATGACGCCATAAGTATACGTATTGAAGTGTCCAAAGTTTTTGATTCCTGGTTTGGCAACAAAAAAATTATTTACAAATTGGTTGTTGCTTAGAAAGAATGAAATTATTTCATTCATACTGAAATGTTTTTATGCATTTTCTTTTCAAGTGTACATAGAACTTATAAATTTTCCTTTCTGGCAGCAGCCCGCTCATCTAGCGAGCTTGCCCGCTAGTATTTTATAATACATTGTGTACTTAGTAAAACGTTATTAATACCAAAGTATTATATACGATTTTACATAATAGGTTTTTTTTTCCACCAGGGTAATAAATGTACTAACGTTCTCAACTAAACCCTTGCAAAATAATTAATAATTTGTAATGTTATAATTTTGTTTGTCGTCGTGCTGTATATTATAATGAACAATCAACAGCAGATTGTCAAAGATTTATTTTACTGAGTATATTATTTATTTATCATAGTATATGAGTGAAAAATCTTCAGTTTATTCAGATCATCCTGAAAATATGTATGAATTATACGACGTTTTCTAATTTCTTTTGGAACAAAATTTCGTTTCAGGATTAAAAGATATGCGGGAGAATGCGACGAAAAGCGATACAAACGTAACTATAAAATTGAGAGAATAAAATCCTCAGACGTGAGTGACAGTATAAGTTATGCATTTATAAAACCAACTTTTTCTAGAACAATATTTAAAAAAATTGAACCTCGTCAGGAAGGCACCGGCGAGATTCGAACTCGCGATCTCCTGTTTACTAGACAGGCGCTTTAACCAACTAAGCCACGGCGCCTCATTCTTAGTTTATCAAAATGACCTATTTTCTGAAAGTATCGTTTTATTGTCTGGCAGTCTGAGGTGCAGGAATTCTGAAATGATTTCGCTTGTGTTAAGATAAGGTAGTACGTAATTACAGAGAATTTTCAATTGACCCCTGTGCAATGATTGCCATTGTTGTTTTATTAGGTATCCACCAATGCACTGCCAAAATTTCACCCTTCACAATTATTCCTAAGAGCGTTTGACAACCCTAGAAATTACTTCAGATTCTTCGAGAAAGCTGAGTTTTTAGCCCAAAAGGGACATTAGTCCCAAATGGGATCTTAATCTCGAAATGGCACTTTTCGTATAACTTTTCAAATTGCTACCACCAAATGTTATCATCCTCTGTTATATTTAAATAAATTAAATATTGAAGAATCTACATGAATGTACGCACGTTTTTCGCATTGTGAAAAATTAATTGTACCAAACTGGAGCCATCAAAATTTGAATAACGTAGTCCTTCACCCTAACAAGACTGAATTTTTAGTAACACAGTCCTTCACCCGAACATGGCAACCAGAAATCCGAATTCTGAATAGCATAGACCTTCACTCGAACATCGGCAACTAGAAGCCCAAATATTGAATTTCGAGTTTGTTTTATTACGTATTTCATATTTTATAAAACTTTAATGAAATATTGATTAACAAAGTCAACGATTTCAAAGCGAGCAGTAGTAACACTGTACGAGAAAAAGCACTTTTATCTGCAGCGTTCCGATACTGTCCATCGGACATGCTACGTTAAAATATTTTGTGAATTTGTTGTTGAGTCGAATTTTGTGTAATGTTAAAAATAAAAAGTCAAAAAAGGTTATTTTAATAAGAAAACTAAACATTAATATGATGAGCTGAGAATAGACTGGGAAAAAAAAAAACAGAAAATGTATACCAACACTTGCGCTGGTAAAGTCGCTGAACACTGGTAGTTCGGTCTGAGGTTCGAATCCCGCGAACGAACTGGCTGCATGGGTGTTTTCGTGGTTTTCCCCATGTGTAACGTGTATACGAGCCAGTTTCCCTTAGAAAGTCCTCCACGAAGGCATCTCTTCCCTTAGGCAGATAGCCCTAGTGTGCTTTCCCATAAGTAAATACACCACCACACCACCTATTTAATTGTATATGGCGTAAGTGTGTAGGAAAGAATGTTTAACCTTTCAGGGTTTTTTTGAATTTTTTTAATCAACTCGTAAGTCATTCGTAATCATCAAACTCAAGATCCTTAATGACCAATGACCTTGGTCATTACAAGAGATTTAGGGTTTAATTTTATTCTAATAATGTGAATTAACGATCTAATTAAAAGTACATCAAGCTAATAAGTTTATGAATATTCAAACCAGTATTATAATCAATAAAAGATCTTCCTAGTGTTATGCGTTTCGTATTACAATTAAGATTTTATATTTTATTCATTTTTATTAAATGTCTGTTTGATATAATTCAGAATATATCCATTTACTTAGAATATAGATGTTTATATATTTGTTTGAATGTATATGCTTTATAAATTTTCAAAAAAAAAAATTAACCATTAAAGTAACTAATAAATGATGTTTCTAATGCCATTTTTTTATCGTATTTACTCGGAAATACGATAAAAATGATATATATTTGTTTGAATATATATGCTTTATAATTTTTGAAAAAATTTAACCATTAAAGTAACTAATAAAGGATGTTTCTAACGCCATTTTTTATCATATTTACTCGGCTATATAGAACAATAGTTTTAGTACCACCTAACTGCATGGTTTGCAGACATTTCTGCTCATGTTTTTTACAGTATAAGTTGCCAACTTTTACCTTCTCTGCTGTGAATTATTTCATTTTCTTTCATGTAGCAATCTGCCAGCGAATTGTTATGTGGAGCATTTGTTTAATTGAAACATTTCGTTGGTTTTAACCACTTAAATTTGTTTTTTATGTAACAACTATGTCTTTTATTAGTGATAAATTTTATTATTGCAGCTTGAAAGCAGTTTTGCTGTCTTGCATTCGTACTATCGGTGATACTAAATGCAGGGAGAACATTAATGTACTGAAATGGGTGGTCGAAAAAGAAATCATTGTAGTTGGAAGATACGCAGAACGTGCAACCGGATTTACCGGTATGTTAATCAATTCATTTATTCAATTTTTATTTATATCAAAATGCACAAAAAGTTATATCTATTTTTAGCATTTGTTATACATCTTGCTTTGACTGAAATCAGCAGAGGAAAGAGAAATGTTTATGTGTGATTACGAATTTGGAAGAGATGACCGAATTATTTGTGGTATCTTACGTATGCTCGAAGATATAGCAATTAATAATCAGGAAGTAAAACTAAGTTTCATTATTTGATCCGTTGAAAATTAGTTCTCTTTTAATGCTGAAATAACTTGTATTGTGAAATTTGAAGTTAATTGAGTCTGAAAAAAATTAACTAAGATTCCTAATGCACGTTACCATTAGGAATCTTAGTTGTATTGTTATTACAAGCTTAGAAAAAAACTTAAATTTTCCTTTTTCGGTACATTCAGCGATGTTATTGGCTACATTTATTCACATTCATAATCGTGCGTACTTAACACTCATACACTCTGATTCAATTACCATGTAGAGACATTAGGTATATTTTGGAAGCAGGAATGATAAAAAATGAGGAACGCCTTCCCCGGGAATCGAACCACAGACCTCTGGAATACGCTCCCAGCGTGCAGACCACCACACCACGAAGGCATGCTATGAAGGCGGGAGAAATAACTTATATATTTCCACTTTTAAAGGGGGACTGGGATTTTAGGGGACCCATTCGCCAAATCCTGGGAGTGGAGAATCATCATCCGCCACCCTTTTAGTTCGGGCGCCACTGTAGGGACATTCGGTTAATTGGAAGCAGGAGAGATGAAAATTGAGCAACGGCTTCGCCGGGAATCGAACCAGGGACCTCTGGAATACGCGCCTAGCGTGCAGACCACCACACCACGAAGGTATGCCAAGAAGGCGGGAGAAATAACTTATAACCTTAGCGTCAGTTTTCTGCCGTTCATCATGCAGCAACTCTGTTTTTTTTTTATTAAAGATATAAACAATTTACAAGTTACAGAACACAGATCATACTAGAAAGAGCCATTAACTTGCTGAATTATAGCAGTCTAGTGATGCCTTTGCCAGCAATTATGAGCATAGGCACACATATGCATATGATATCCGTACCCATGTTTTACCGTCACCGTTGGAAAATTATAGTCTACTTCCTCTTTTCCTTTTTTAGCCCAAAGGGCCAATTTGCCTAGAATTTCGTTTTGGCATTTTGCATCGTCCATTATAAAACTGCATTTCACTTTTCAAATTGTTGCCACTAAATATTAGAGTCCTGCATTATATTTAAAGCAATTAAATAATGAAGAATCTGCATGAATGTATGTACGTTTCTCGCATTGTGAAAAAACGACGGTACCTAGAGACATGAAATTTTGAATAACGTAGTCCTCCATTCGAATATGGGCATCTAAAAACCAAGATTTTGAATTTGTTTCATTATATATTACCTATTTTGTAAAACTTTAACGAATTTTTGATTAACGAACTCAACGCTTTCAAAGCGAACAATAGCAACACCTTACGGGGGAAAAAGAAAAACATTTTTATCTAAAGCGCGAGAGACTGTGCCTCGGAAATACTAAAAATGTACTATATTTAAATATTTTGTGACATTGCTGTTGAATTGAATTTTACGGTTTAGTGCGAAGAACATGATATTTAATAAATAAAGGTAACACACAAAACGTTATAAAAAGTCCTTTTGGGCGTAAAATATGAAAAATTTCAATTTTTTTTATTATTCTTTGTTTTATTACTTTTTTATCGTTGTTTTCTCTTTAGTGAGCAGGAAAGATAAATAGAGATAAATTTTCATATATTTATCTTTTCTTGACTTTTGTATTAAAACGACAGAGAAAAGATTGAAAATATTTTGTACTCGTAAATGTACTTTCCAAGGTACTTTACATTACATTACACCCCCAGTGAGGCTGTCTTCCTGCCTGGGAAGGCTATACGTTTCTGGTTAAAATACAGTTCAGTATAATTTATTTATTGCTGCTAACGTCTCACTGTTAAATTATCAAATAGAGAATACTTACTTTATGTATGCTACTTAATTAGATGTACTATATATAGCGTTTTAATATTTTTTGTGGTTTCCAGTAACTAGGACTGATCCTCATTACCTCAGTTATTACCTGAGTCTATAGAATTACTGCTAGGTGACAGATTCAAAGTGAGCATGGTATAATTTGGAGTATGGACTTACATTAAACGGTCTGCAATTTGATCACTACTGGATGCCTTAAGCTGATCAAATTCTTAGAATCTTCCAAAGTTACAAATCGATGTATGTACCTTGAAAAGCAATTTATTCTAGTTTAGTCTTACATTTCAAGCATTACTGAAATTTTATGAATTTCTGTGTAACATTTTAATAGAAGTAATGAAACAAAAATTTATAGTACCTATGACTAATATTTCCACTAACTTTCACAACACAATTAAAGGGCGCATTTTGAAATTCTAAATATATTTTCACCAAGTTAAAATTATTCCTGTTTTAACAGTTAGCAGAACATTTATAGATTGCAGCTTTTCAATCTGCAATATTTTTTATTCTTAAACTACTATAAAAATGACATTGTGATCTTAATTATTAAATAATAGATAAATATCTTTCTTAACACCATTTCCAACTAAATGGGTAGATGCAGCGTTTTAAGAGCAAGGGTCGAAATTTGATAGAAACTGAAACTAAGTTCTAAAATCCTCAAATATCTTGAAATAACGTTTATGACGAGCTACTGTATTACGAGACGCTGACCTCATTTGGCACAAGCAATAGAAGATTTCGATAGAGATGAACAGAATTTATAATTGTTCATTTGTTCTAGAGGAAATAAAAATATGTTACAATACTATAATATAGTGAACTCATACAAATTGGGAAAGAAACCTGTGTGTAATCCGACTATTCTTAAAAGTATAGGAAGGATTAGTTAAAACAACTCACATGCAAGAAGTCGCTTTTCTTTTTTTTTTTTTTTTTAGAAGATATATGACTTTCTCGACATCTGGCAAGAATTTGTATTTACTGCTTGCAAATAAATTCGTTTTTAATGACTAATGCATTTTTGATTTCGCAATCTCCCAAAATAGTAAATGCAATTAAGCGCAAAGCATGCACTGAATTTTGGGCTGATCTTTGGCGTATGGTAACAGGTAGTTTGGCGACATTTTGGAAAGGCGATAAAGGTTACCAGTTAGGACTTTAACAATAATCTGAGAAGTACACAATTCGAATCACAGATTATTTTCTCTCAGAGAAATGAGAGATCATGAGACATGTAATGCGACATTTTCCGGAAAATTCCAATCGGGATTTTAGCTAATAAGCACTTAGAAACAATTTCGCTGCTAAAGTGCAGAATCGCCCACTTATTTGTTTGGTGCATTTACAAGAGTAAGAAGAATTGGATTTTTGTCAATTTTCTTTGACTTTCTAAGTGAAAATACATGGATAAAGTCAAGAGTGTGCGCAATGCCATTTTTGTGCAATTCTGGGATGTTTTTTTAAGTGAAAATAGGTCGACGTGTACATAGATACCGTGTATATGCCATTCTTAAAAAAGCGGCAAGCAGTGGGCGATTCTACACTTTCTCCCAATTTCGCACCTAATATTCGTCATGATTTGTTCCATACTTTTGTTCCATAAAAGTTCTAGCATAAGCGTAATTCGGCTAGCAGATTGTTGGAAAAAATGTTGAGTTAAAAAAAAAAAAAAAAAACATAACTTTACTTTGTGAAAACCAAATGGCGTCCAAAAAAAATTAGTAAATTGCTGTAGCAGGGTTGGTCGCCAAAGTTTCGCTAAAAAATCGCCAAGTTACCGTAATCCGAAGATTCAACAATTTTGTTTTCACAATGGAATTTCTGCTACAGAGATGCCTGAAATTGTGCGAAAGATTTCTAAACGAAAGCTAGTTCAAAAAAATATATTTTTACTGGTATAAGATACGTAAAGAAATAGAAAACGCATCAAGGATGAACTGTGCTTTGGTAGAATATCCATTTTATCTAATGAGTAAGCTCCAAACATGTTACAGATTCGATTCTTAGTAATTTTCATTTTTTCATTTAATGATCAGAAAAATTATGGAAAACGTTCTGCATCATTTGGATCCGGTCAGGCAATTTAGAAAGATCATCTGGGCTTGCGAGCATCTCGCCTTTCGAAGGAATTGCTTCAAAAACGTTGAATTTTACGAAACGCAAAAATGCGTTTAAATGGCCCAAGTCCAAGCTGCTATCAAAGAATATTATTTGAATGTTTTGAGGCTTTACTATGAAATAATTTGTAGAAAACGGTATTAATTGTGCCAGATAACTCTGAATTTTGCATCGCTATTATATGCCCGTTATTATAATGCTCTTTTTGTTCCTGAATTTCGGGCTAAAATTCAAAATATACGGTTCATTAAGCTTTGCGTTTACTTGAAACTGCATTTTGTGATTTGTTCTTGTTTTTAGATTCAAGTTGCTGCTTTTTGGATAAGATTTTGAGACAAATGATACAATAAAAAATTGCGGTATCTTTTTGTGTATTGGCTTTGTATAATCTATTCTGCGTAATATTTTTATGCATTAACTTTATTTAATCTTTTATCTTATTTTCATTATATTTTGAAGAAAATAAAATTTCTCATATTAAATTTTACTCCATTTCCAGATAGAGTTCCTGATGAGGTAAAGAAATGCGTAGCTGTTGTTGATGAGTTGAAAATGGAAGAATGCTATCCAGGTTTTTATAACATATTAAATGATGTCATCGTCTACGGTGAAACTAATGTTGACATCACCAAGTAAGTAATTTTGTTTTCGCTTTTCTAATGAATAACAAAAGGATTTTTTCCCCAAGGAAATTTGCATGTCAGATTTCAGTTTCGAATATATATAACTTATACCAGTCGTGCATAAATAATAAAAAATAGACTTGATTGCTTTTCAAACGTGTGAGTAATATCTTCTTGCAGATTTTACGGAAAAGCTTTAATGAGATAGAGGGAAATTTCCGACTGAACGGCAATCCTCAGAATATTCTGTTGCTTCTTCTGAGATTGTGACTGGTATTTTCAGAGAAACGTTATAGAAGTTCCGATAGCGCTGACCATAGTCGCTATTTGTAAACAAAATCTCATCATTATCTTACTTAGAACAACCTTTATAACATTCTAATTTTCAAGAATTCAGTAATATTAAATTCTTAATAATATTAAAACAACATTTAAATTTTCTCGAAAAATTACAATTTAGTAATTCTTTCAGCAACCATTTTTGTAATAGTAATTATAAACGTAGTACTTTATCGACTATGGCAAGGAAAGAGAGAGAGATAGAACGGAGAATGTGGGCACTATCCCTTTATCAAACGGTTAATTAGTATAGCACCACGTCCACCACTATCTATAGCACCCCTTCAAAATACATAATGCCACCTGAAAGGTATTCAACGTGCACGACAAGACATACAATATAATATGTTACAGAGTTACAGATTAATATTCAAGATACATTACTGGTACAATACTGATACAAACATGACAGATGCTGAACTGATAAAAGGCTGATATAATACTGGTACTGATATTAACACTGATTAATACTGCTACAGTACTGATACATTGATATACACTGAATATTATTACTGATTAAATGGGAATGATTTTGCATAAGTCGGTAAATAAATCCACGAAATAATACGTTAAGGAGACTCAAAATATTACGAATTAAAATATCACAAATGAATGTTCTACTGTTACATTTCTTGTACTATTGTACTATCTATAGCACCCCTTCAAGATACATAATGCCACCTGAGAGGTAATCAACGTGCACGACAAGACATACAATATAACATGTTACAGAGTTACAGATTAATATTCAAGATACATTACTGGTATATTACTGATGCAAATATGACAGATGCAGAACTGATTAAAGGCTGATATAATACTGGTACTGATATTAACACTGATTAATACTGCTACATTACTGATACATTGATATAAAACTGAATATTAATACTGATGAAATGGGAATGATTTTGCACAAGTCGGTAAATAAATCCACGAAATTATACGTTACAGAGATTCCCCCCCCCCCAAAAAAAAGAAAAATGAGAATTAAAATATCATAGATCAATGTTCTACTGTTACATTACTTGTACATTACTGATGAAATATAACTGATACACTACTGATACAAGGCTGATATATTAGTGATACAAAATTTGGTTGATCTTTACAATATGGTAACTGGTAGTTTGGCGACATTTTGGAGGCGATAAAGGTTACTACCTGGGACTTTGGTAATAATGTGAGCAGTACTCAGTTCCGATTACGCATTATTTTGCGTGAGGGAAATGAGAGATCATGGGATATGTCATGTGATATTAATGGACGAATTACGGTTCTTTAATCGGAAAAGGGGGGAAATCGGGAAAAAATGTGGAAATTTTTTTGTATTTAGCTTTATTCATAGTGTGTTGTGTGAAACAGTGTTGTGTAATTTTTGGATCCCATGGCCCTAACTAAAGTGATTCGAAATGGGTATTTAGGCATTGTGATAAAGAGAAGTTTGCTTTTTATTTAGCGGAGGAAGTATGGAGGAAACATTCGCAGAAAAAATCTTTGAATAATTATATTGAATGAATTAGAAAAGTGTATCCGCCACGTAATCAAGATTCTGAAGAAGATTAGGTAAGTTAGTATTTTTAATTATTTGAGGATATTATTTTTATGCATTGTTCTAAATGTAAGGTGGAAAGGAATTTGGTATTATTGGGAAAATTGTTATTAGCAATGATTTAGTTTAAAGTAATTAGGATTGTAAGGTAATTTTTATTAATTTAATGTATGTGCTCATTTATATTTTAAGTAGTGTTTTTGAATTTAATTATATTTTAATGAAATGATAGTTATTTTGTGAATTTTATGTTTGTAGGAATTTGGTATACGTTTAAGTTGAAATAAACGTGCATGGAAATAATTTAAATATTTGATACTAAGTATTTGTAATACTTGCGGTATGAATTCGTCGGTGACGTGTATAATGTAATAGATGATTTAGAGGTAAAAGTTTTTGGATATTTTATTTATTTTATATGTGGAAATGTTCATATTTGTAAAGGGTAAATACTTTTTCGCGATCAGGTAATTTCATATATGTTCTTTTTACCAGGTTTAAAGATTGAGAAAATTGTCATGTATTTTCGTGAAATTTTTCTAATTTATGAGAAAAAAGCAGTGTACATGGATATAGTGAAGAGTGTGCGCAATGCCATTTTTGTGCAATTCTGGGATTTTTTTTAAGTAAAAATAAGTCGGCGTGTACATGGTTTATGTGTATGTGTTATTTTTGAAAAACGCGTAAGGTGTATGGTATTGTGCACTTTTTCCCAATTTTGCAGTGAGTATTTGTCATGATTAAGCAGTTTTGTTTGATAAAATTTCTAACATAAGTGTAATTCGGCTAGTAGATTGTTGGAAGAAGTGTTCAGTAGATAAGAAGAAAAGAAACATGTCTTTACTTCGTGAAGACAAAATGGCGGCGGGGAAAAAAAAAATAGAGGGTTGTTGTAGGAGAGTTGGGTGCCAAATTTTCGCCAAAAAATCGCCAAGTTACCATAATGTAAAGATCAACCCAAAATTTTACTGATTGCAAGACTGTTTTTATTGCTCATGCGATATATGCATGAGCAAATATGCATATACAATACTTTACTAGTATTAATACTCATACAATACTTAACTGATATTAATACTCATACAATAGGTTACTGATATTGATACTCATACAACACTTTTATTGGTATTAATACTCATTCAATACTGACTAATAGTGATTAATTGTAAATGGGAAATACTGATACTGATACAATACTTTACTCAATTACGACTGTTACATTACTGATACAAATGTGGATATATAATATTTAAATGTTACAATACTGATACAATACTTTACTGGTATTAATACTGACACAATACTGATTAGTACCGATACTATACTTTGCTGGTGTAAGACTATTATATTGTTGATACAAATTTGCATATAATCCATACGGAGCATACGTTTATGGCAGCAGGAGAATTTACGCTGTCTGACATAAGTCCATGCCCAGCGCAGACAGTTTGTCCATTAAATTGACAACCTTTGTAATCAGATATCTCTGCTTTATGATAAATTTGCAGAAGGCCTGCCTGTTGGTACTTGGCAGTTGAATATGAAGATCAGATGTCAATGGACAAGTGGTCAGGTAATGCTCTGGGGATCCAATATCTCCGCAGCAGCAGAACTCAGTATGGCTGAGCCCGCGTTTTGCAAAATATTGCGGAAATGGACCATGGCCAGTGATAAATCGAACGAGCTGAGGGTTGGAAATGATACGGTCAGTGTCCACATACGCTATGTGATACTGCGTTCGTCGACCGGTTGAGCCCTCGTCCCATTCCTCTTGCCATCGTCCAATGGCCTTCAATCTCAGGCATTTCTTTAGATAAGAAATAGGCCATGGGATATTGACTTGAGTATCTGCATTGCCTGAAGCTGCCTCTTTGGCTAGACTGTCTGCAGTTTCGTTTCCGTAATGCCCAGCATGGAGCTTTGATCCACTCAAGTTTAAGCTGATGGGGGAAATGCTCTCTTAGGTCCTGCTGAATGGTTTGGATGATGGTAGATGGATGGTCAGGATTACCTAAAGCACGCAACGACGATAGACTGTCTGTTTTTATAACTGCTTTTTTAATACCGTAAAAGATTAAGTAGCGTAAGGCTTGTGCAATAGCAATCGCTTCACCTTGGAAGACTGAATTTTGAGAGCGCAGTTGACCTTTCCAATGATGTGTAACTATATGATCCCGCAAAACAGCAAAAGCACTGCCTGTGTTTTCGTTGATTTTCGAGCCGTCTGTATAAATTTCTATTTGAGAAGGCAGAGCTGTAGCAGTTGGCTGAACTTGGATGCGAACACCAATGCCTTTAAATGATGGATGGGTACGAAAATCAGGAGCCGGGATTTCATACTCTTCTGGAAGGAAATATTCATCAGAGAAGTAAGCTGGACGCCGTAACTGTTTGATGAGTTGCCTGACAGCCTCTTCTTCAACTCGTAAGTGGAGGAGTAATAATCCCGCTAAAACATTGATTGCATTAGAGGCTGTTGTGCGATAAGCACGAGTTATGTTTAGAGCAAAGGGTCTCTGGATTGCTGACAGATGGAAGCCTTGCTAAAATGCAGTTAATAAAAAAGTAATTTATTCAGCTTTGAGAAATTAATTGTTTTTTAGACTTTCTAGCAGATAGTCGGCGCACCAGTGGCTGAGTGGTAAAGTCGCTGAACGCTGGTAGTTCGGTTCAAGGCCTTGAATCCCAACGAAGGGCTGCCTGCATGGCAGCCCTTCGTTGTTTTCCACATGTGTAACGCGTATACGAGCTGGTTTTCTCTCAAACGTCCTCTACGAAGGCATCCCTCCTCTTTGCCATATTAAAAACAAACAAACAAACGTAGCAGATTGTCATTAAACGTAAAGGTTTCATACTTTATCATTGAACAATATTTTTTTTTTTTAAGAATAGCTTAATATTCTGCTCTTAAGAAGTAGTACTGTAAAGATTAACCTTCCAGCACGCGCGCTTGTCAATTTTACAAGAACACGCGCGCGTCGTATTTTTTACGACATCCGTTATTTTACCGTTTTTGGCACGAAAAACGACAGAAATGAGTGAATATTGATGATAAATTTGTTAAGAAATAAAATATTAATCTCATTATTGCAAAATACAGATGTTATCAAATTCAAATATAAGTAAATTATTTTTAAGTTCTTATGTTAGTGAGATGGAAATGCAATGGTGTATTTCATTATAGAAAATTTTAAATGTATTACTTAATAATTATATTCTAAAATCGAAGCTAATTTTAATATTCATCAAAGGCAAGTATAGACAATAAAAAAGGAAAACACCTTGGTATAAAAAAAGTAAGTTTAGCATTACTTACTTCTGCAAGGAAGTTTACTTCTTACTGGTTACAAAAACGCACTTTAAATTAACTTTAATAATTTTATTTATTTCTAAAAAGTAGAAATAAAAGAAAATAAGGAATGGAAATCGCTATTGTTCTCCCATCCAAAGGTTCCCTTGTCTCCCTTTTCTTCATCAGATAATTCTTGAAGAATCCGAGCAAAATCAGCTGGTTGCACATATTTTTTTGCCATGAATACCGATATAAAATTTACAGAGCCAAATGGATTCAAATTAAAGTAATACACGGCAGTTAATAACACAAAATTACAAAATATTTGAGAAGAAAAATATTTTCCGAATTTTAAAACACGACCAAGCGCGTGTCGTAAATTTTATGAAAAAGCTGTTACGTAGCACAAAAGCCCAGTTAAAAAAAAAGTCAAATGACTTCCGCTTGGCACATTCCATGATGTGGGGAAGAGCAGAAAGGAGGTATAGAAATGACCTTCAGACGTCTCAGCTTCGATATGCGAAAAATGTGTATTAAAAACTGAATTTGTCATAAATTTGCGCATACGCGCGTGCTGGAAGGTTAACCAAGGTATTTGTTTCATTTAGTCTTTTGGATTAGGGTGACTACTCTATAACGGTCATGTCTGCCATCTCGCAATTACGATATAGTAGTGTAGTAGTTTGTAATGCAAAATAGTAAATATTCACCGCTTAATTATTGCAAACTTAATACAGGTTGGTTTGGCTCAAGCTTTGACTACTAAATTATCTAATGAAAATATGATTCACACACTAAAGGGGAAAAAATTAACATATGTCGACTGCAAATGTCCTGGGATAACCAGTTTTCAATATCTAGCCGATAATTAGTTTTTAAGGAAATCTTTTTCTTACTTTTATTATTTAGTAGTGTATAATCTGAAGAGAAATGAACCAAAATTTTTGAGATGTATGTGTTAAGGCATGTTCAAGACATATCAAGTTTAAAGAATAATGTTCATGACATAAATTCTATGTTTGATCAAAGACAACGTAACCGTAATAATATTAGATTTAACGTAACTATTTTGCTTTTATTTCCAGGGATAGTAACACAAACCTCGAATGCATCCCAGATTTGATGAAGCATTGCAAGAAAAAGAGCCTTCAATTTCTGGAAAAGATATTTTACGTGATATTTAAAATATGCATTCCTTTCAACAAAAACCCTGAAGACAGAGAGTGTACAGAAGGTTTGTAAATGTATTTGTTCATGCGTTTGTATTTTCGCTATAACCCAACTGAAGTATGAAACCCCTGACTGCTCAATATTTTTAATAATATCGCTTCAAAAAATGACATACAGCTTATTATATATTCCAGATCATATTGCATACTATATATTTATTACATATTTCATGTATTTGAGAGTTAAAATATGAAGCATATTGTTTTTGTAGTTAAAATGTTTTTAATATATTTACAGGATTCCCACTAAAGTCCGATACCACCCGTTTAACTGCCGAGTGGCTGCGGCTATAGTCATAAAAGTGGCTACCTAGATGAGATAGCTTTCAGCGTCACCTGGTGAAAAACAGCGGAATTAGCATCCTTATCTCGAAACCGATACGACATAGGAAGAAAAAGTGAATTACAAAGTTGTAGAGCATCGTCGATTTAGTACGAAAAGACCCCTCGTGGACAGGAATGTTAAGAACAGAAGGTTTTAAACGTGCATTTGTTTGTTCGCGATTTCCGAAACTGTGACGTCACGAAAGGACAGAAAAGAACAACTAGTTATCACAAGCTACCTTTATTTTCGATGTTTTAAACTTCTCTCCATCAGCTGAAACGCACATCTGGACCCTTGTAAGAACTCCATGTTGCACCTTGTAGCATAGCGTGTGGCACGTTTGCACAAGCATCTGTAATACGTCATCGAAGGTCCTGCGATGTTTGTGGAGGGGTCGCATACACCTGCTGTTTCCTGCTGTTGAGGTATCCACACAGGAAAGGTCCGTTGGAGTCAGATCAGGAGAATGTGGAGGCCACTCTTCGAAACCACCGTACCCGATTATTTGTTCTCCAAATTCCTCTCAGGTAATGCTTCGCTTGCAAAGTCATGTTGAAACCATCCACTCGGGAATTGAAGCAACGGGCAAGTTCTCAATAAAATCTGGTATTATGTCTTGCAGAAGTTCTAAATATTGAGCGGCCGTTAACGTACTTTGGTAAAATATTGAGGCGATTAGCCTGTTATAAATTCCACACCAAACGTTAATTGAAAACTGTATTTGATGTCAAACTTCGGCAGAACATGATGGATTTTCCAGTGCCCAGTAATGGGTCTTCTGCCTATTGTATATTTCATTCCGCGAAAGGCATGCCGCATCCGTTCGCACTATACCTGCCAATAATATTCGCTGGACCTCTATCTGGTTCATGATGAAGTTGCATCATGCCAATTAATACCTAATTCATTTAGGATTTTCCAAAAGCGACGTTTTGAGAGGCCACACTTTTCACTTATTGTGCTGCTGTTTGGATATGTGAGGTCGTATGTTAAAACCTTTTCTGGTTGCACTTTCCGCCCTACCTTAGCTGGTCTGCCGGATCGAAGTCGGCTAGTCACGCAGCCTATCTCCCTTAAGCGTTTCACAACCTGTAAGATGGTTTTGTATGAAGGATGTGGGCCTGCAGGAAAACGCTGCCGATGCAACAGTGCTGCCGATCGTACCTTGTGCTCACATTCACCGTAAGTAGAACCATCTCAGAATAATAATTTTTTGAAAATCGCTCCGTGATCATGAGCTTCAGCATACAATCACGAGGAGATATCTCTTTTATAGCTGTCTCAGGTGAACAGGTATGACGTTTCATACACTATTTGCATAATGCACATATTCGCACACCAAACTGAAGTTGCGTTGAGTTGATGCGTTTTGCGACACGATTGTGCACGATCTGTATGATGTTTACTCTGTTTCTAAAGACAATCAAGGCTGCACCCCTCGGGGTTTGAACCACAATCCTCTCGACTGTGAATTACAAACGACAATCACTGTGCCGCGATACAAGCATGTATTTCATCTGAAAGATAATATTTTCTCTTTTCGTTCAAGTCATGGACCTTATAAGAGATAGACTAACCCAGTGGGCGGAGCGCGCGTCACCGACATGTAGGCAAAAAAGAGGAGGGACGATCTGGTTTACTTTAACACTGAAACCTATGGCGTTTGTATCACATAACTCTTTTTAATTATTAAATGTGATACGTTGTATAGTGATGAGATTATGAAAGCCACAGTTTTTTCCAAATAGGATTTAATATATCTCATTAAAGCTTTTTTTACTGCATTTCGCGCATTATTTTCACTCATAATTCTTGTACAAACATCTTTACTTTAGTAAAAACTCTAAGCCTAAGATTCATGTATTTAATTTGGCGTAAAAATAAAGTAAAATTAAATAAAATTGATAGTACGCGATTCTTTGAAATAAATAAGGTAAAATTAAACAAGATCTGATAATTTTGTTTTAATTTAATCATCATTTTCAGGCAGTGATTTTCCAAACTATAATAACATTACAAAACGATCATATTTATTTGACTGCATGATCATTAAATTATTAACATTAAAGTGGATTAGTTATTTTAATAATTCATAAAATTCGGAGCATAAAATTTTCTGATCGTAATGAAGGGAAAAAAAAGATAAAATAAAATCTAGATGCTCTCATTTTATATAACGCCCAAAAGAAACCTTTTTTTAAAGTTTTGTGTGTTACCTATATTTACTGAATATCATGTTCTTCGCCCGTAAACTACATATATTTGAAAACAGAATATCTTTAGAATTTCCGCACTGAAGATAAAACTGTTATTTTCCGTACAGTGCTCGCTCTGAACTCGTTGAGTTTGTTAATCAAAAATTCGTTAAAGTTTTACAAAATAGGAAATAGATTAAAACAAATTCAAAATTCGGCCGTCCGGATGCCCATCGTCGGGTGGACGATTACATTATTCAAAATTTGATGGCTCTAGATACTGTCGTTTTTGTAACAGTGTGAGAAACATACATGTATTCGATAATATTTGGTAACAACAATTTGCAAGGAGACACGGACATTTATAGTAAAACAGCGCAAAATGCCGCTTCGAAACTAACAGCCTTTCTAGGCTACCGCCCCTTAAAAATTAAATAAATAAAAAAAATCTTATGCAGAACTAAAAATAAATTTAAAAAAATAATCACTATAAAATACAAGCAAAATTAATTATTACGGTTAAATACAATTTTAATATTAGAATTAAATGTATAAAAATTTTTAAAGAGACAAAAGTGTTTATCGCCGTGATGTATTATAAAATATAATTGAAATAAAATTCCTATATAGAAATTGTGCTATAATACTCATCTATAACTTAAAAAAAATAGCACAATTTAGAATTTTAAACAAAACTTTCAAAAATTCGGTTTTAAATATTTTAGTATTTTTTACTTATTTACACCAATAAAATTGCTTGTTTGAAATTTTCTATTAGTTCAGATTTAAAATATTATTTTCTAAAAGAAGTAGTTACAAATTTCCTTACAGCATAGGAAAAGCTAAAAAAATATCCAGTCCTGAAAGCATGCAACAGCTTTATAATTATGTGGAACGTTAATTATGTTTGAAAAATATGCTAAATTTTTAAAAATCAATCTCAATTTCAAAAATAAAAATATGTAGAAACTCTAATTTGTGAACTGAGGCGCTACAACCAGCTTTTTCTTGACAATTACAGACGCTGCAATAGGCAACCTATGTTAAATTTCTGCAAGTCGTCCCTACTCCTCCGTATATGATCAAGGTGACAGCCGGCAACGCCTCAGACAAGGGACAAAACCCGTTTGGGTTAGTCTATTTCTTATAAGGTCCATGGTTCAAGTTTCGTGACGTCACAGTTTTGAAAATTACGAAGAACAAATGTGCGTTTTCAGCGTTCTGTTTTTAGCACTCATATTCACAAGGTGTCTATTCGTACTAAATCGACGAGGCTCTACAAATTTGTAATTCACTTTTTCTTTCTACCTCGTACCGTTTTCGAGATAAGGACGCTAACTCCGCTGTTTTCCACCAGGTGGCGCTGAAAGCTGGCTGATCTAGTAGCGCATACCCATTTTACTATACCTGGACACTACTTTTATAAATACAGTTGCAGCCGTTTGGCAGTTATATTTCTTAAGTTTAGTAGGCACCCTGTATATTTCTGAAGTTTAGTAGGCACCCTGTATATTTCTGCATAAGAACAGGATTTCATAAATTCAGTTTTAAGAGTGACCATATAAAGACAAATTTTTTTAATAAATCTTGATTAAATTACTATTTGCTTTATAGAATATAAATATGAACATTGTATACTAATGAAAATATTCAATCTTTACAAAAATTATCCTAGAAATTAAGTGTTGTAAGTTCCAAATAAAGCCCTATTTCACATTCTTTGCACCATACTCAGCAAAAAACACGTTCTTTACACTAATTTTCTTTGCAGAATTCTTTTTAGTAACAAAAGGGACACTGTCTGCAGGGATCTTAGTTTAAAGGATTAAGACGTATGTCTCTTGCAAAATGACGAGATGTCAATCTCAAAGGGTTGAGAGTAAAAGTATCTCTATCTGAATATTTTTCGATACTTTTCTCAATCATTTGCATACTAAATTCCAGAAGCTTTCATTTTTTACAATAAGTTACTTTTTTTGTAAAATACTCATTGATGTACTTTTGTAAGTACTCATTGAGGTTCTTTTTGTAAAGTACTCATGAGTACTTCTTGTACTCTTTTCTGTAAAGTATTCATATGAAGTACTCATTTGTAAAGTACTCATGAAGTACTCATTTTGTAAATTACGCATTCTACAGAGATTATGGAGATTTGAACATTTTTTGTTATTGGATGGTTATGTCACATACACTTATTATGTCTGCACTAAACACTTATTATCTTTCAGATACACACTATTAGATCTACTATTAGATCCACCTATCTTTCATATAACATATTGCTACAAAGAAAATAATTTAAAAACATATATGTACTTCTTAATACCTCTTTTCTTTATTTCATTTTTAATACTAAAATTAATGCAGTTTTAATTTGTATAGCAATTAGACTACTAAGATAGCTCTATTGAAACATTTCCATCAACATATAATATATTCCCAACTATACGTTAAAATTAGCATTTTATTTGACTAATTATGATATAAAAATAGTTTTCATAGTATAGTGTTACTTGAGCGTGATAAACATATATTATTTGGGCGATTTTCTGCATGGTTTTTAAAAATATACCGCAGAATTGTAAATGCAGACAGAAAAGTTGACATTCTTAATGGAATCATGCGATTCGATTTTAAATTGTGTGTTCTCCCGGGATCACTGAGATCCAATCTCACTGCCAAGAATTATCACAGGACATAAAATACTGCTTGTTGCGGTAAGCAGTGTATCAAAAAAGGCTTTGAAGTAGGTTCTAATACATCAACGTATTTTTAAACGTATTTTTATACACTTGTTAACGACCTATTATCTTTTCATACGTTGAGTTTGTAGAGTCACTAGGTTATTTTGATGCTGGAGACATGAAAAATGAGCAATGTCCTCGCCCAGACTCGACCCTGGACCTCTCAAATACGTTACACCACGAACACAAGCAGAAATGAGGGAAAAAATACCTTATGTACTCCTCCTTTTAAAGGGAGATTGGGAATTAGGGGACCCAATCCCCAAATTCTATCGCTGAAGAATCATCATCCACCATGTTTTAGTTCGGGCATTACTGTAGCATCATTAGATAATTTTGGAGCCAGAGACGTGAAAATGAGCAATGCCCTGACCGAGACTCGAACCTGGACCTCTCGAATACGCTTCGAGTGTGCTACCGTTACACCACGAAGGCGTGCAGAAAGGAGAGAGTTATAAGTTTTTTAAAAAGCAAGTATGCAATACACCTGGCATATTTTTCCAGTTTAACGTTTGGCCTTTCTATAATATTAGCAAACAATTCTAGAAGAACTCAGTGCTTTTTATTATTCGACATCTACATTAGCAGCGCTAGTTCTATAAGTATTGCCAGACGATATAAGTCTGTTTTACAGGTGGTGGCTCTTAAAAAGATCATGATTTTAAAATATTTGCAATGACGATAACTTCCTGTTATTACATTAGAGAGTCATTAAAGATTAGAATTAGGTTAGATTAGAGAGACATTAAAGATTAGAATTAGATTAGATTAGAGAGACATTAAAGATTAAAATTAGATTAGAGAGTCATTAAAGATTAGAATTAGATTAGATTAGAGAGTCATTAAAGATTAGAATTATATTAGATTAGAAAGTCATTAAAGATTAGAATTAGATTAGATTAGAGAATCATTAAAGATTAGAATTAGATAGTCAATAGAGATAAGAATTCTTTGAAAGCATAAACTAACTAGCTCTAAACGACCATATGAAGAATTATCCCCAAGTCTTTTAGTAACAGCAGAAAGTCAGAAGAAGAGTGTAATGAACCCTTTATTCATTCAATATAATGGGGCCCACTTGAGCTTACACAAAGCCAACACTTCTGGCTCCACCCAAAATAGATAAAGATGAAATTAATGTAGTAAATCTAGCCTAACGGCTCACAGGATAAATTTACACGCAGAAGGCCCTGCTACTTTGGTAGAGGGTTGCACGGATTTTTGGCGATTTACATTGGCGCAATTGTTGGCGCGGTTTTTACAGTCATCAGCCATCTTAAAAAATGCTGTTTTTACGTATTTTATGCATATAGTAAAGTATTCGAAACTTAAAAAAATAAATAAATATCGTTAAAAATAATGGATTAATTTTTGGTTGAAAACGTTGTTTTTTAAGATGGCTGGCAAATGTATATAAATACATTTAGATAAACTATAAAATAACTATAAAATGCTAAAGTAAGGTTAAATTATTACTTAAATACTTTAAAATAAGTTTTATAGAATTTAATTATTTAACATTAAAACATATGCGGCAATAAATATCTCAGGAATTTTTTAAAACATTGTATTAATTTTTTAATAAAAATTGAAGCATACAGTTATGAAGTAAAAGAAAATTATGTACTTACATTTTTTAACCTGTCTTATATTGATAAGAACCACAAAAAAAAAACCGGTCCGCTAACGATCTTCATCCCTATGATCCACATCTCTCACACTTCATTGAAGAAGCAATTAGCCATGTTTTCTCCAAAAATTTAAAATAAATTTCCTTTGACGCTATTAACAATTTATAAATAAATCTTTGATTAGGAAAGCCAGGTTGGCCAAAATAAGGCCTTTTTTTATTCCGATACCAATAATTCTTGGTAATTACCAATAACAACATTTATATTCGAAACGGACACATCCATTCGCTTTGAAATCTGAGGAATTCGAAGAGATGAATAATAAAATTTTAAAATGGCGCGGTAATACACAAATATTCAGTAACCAATCAGGGAGCTGATTACATCACGCATAGAATTAAAATTATTTAAATAATCATTCATAATAAAATCATATTTTAAAAAAATGCAAAATTAAATTGTATTTTAATATTTAACAGCCATAAATAATGTTTAAAACATTAAATTAAATTTATAGATATTAATAAAACCAATTACTTTTAAAATAATGTGACGTCATTCTTTACATCATTCACAACATAAAATTCCATAAAATATCATAAACAATAAAATTTTTATTTCAAATAAAAATGCAAAATTGAATTCATTTTTATTATTTTGAAGTCATAAATAATATTTAAAACACGGAATTTATGTATAATAAAACGCATTATTTTTTTTAATAAAATGACAACAAAGTATCGGATTACCATAAACAACTTGTCTAGTAATGGGTTTACCATAAGTCGTATCGCTCACCCAAAACAAATCGCCAAAATCCGTGCAACCGTCTACCAAAGTAGCACCAAAAGGGTTAATAGCTGTAACAAGATATCATAACTGTAACAGGGTCATAATTTATTACTCTCATCCATTTATTTTTGCTGCATCGTTAGTACCATCTTGTACTGCCATACTCAACTGTTTACTTTATGTTGTACTTTTCAACATACAGTAAACAGTTGAGTAAACATTTTACAACATACAGTTTTATTTTGTTTGTTGAAACAGTGAAATAATGTCCGACAGAGCAGAAATAGGAGGAAAAAATCTTTTGTTAGTATTTCATGAAATATACAAAGCATTTCTTTAAAATTAACGCTAATACATCTTTAAAATTTTCTTTGTTTATGTTTCTATCATTCGTTAACGTTTTCATTGTATTTTGTTCATCTTGTAGAACCTCCTGAGGAAGAAACTACGGATGGCATTGAACAAAAAAAGGATTTGGATAGTAGCAGTAAGAATTTATTTATAATTGTGTATAACAAAATAATGTTGTTTATGTAAAACGTTTGTTGGTACGTTTGTTTGTGCAAACCAACGAGAACACTTATGCTATCAAGTTATGGTATTGTTATTAAATTACCAGCGGAAGTACCCAATGCCAGTCAAATTAGATTGAGAGTAATGCATCTAACAACAGAGAGAAAGATACCGCTGTAATCTTTCTCTAATAACAATGCAAAAAATACGATACATAGTCATACATTTTTCAGTCTGATATGATATGGAACCCACATAAAAAATTTCGGAACTACTCTCATATACGCGCTCGGTTGGTGACAATGTTTGGCGACAAACTCCCCGCCACCATATTACTACCTAAAATTTTTGTCTACATTTCGAACTTTAAGCCTAAAATGTCAGCAAAAACGCGATTTTTGTAAGTGCAAAATCCACGTTTTGAACACACAATTTAAACTACAAATCCGAAACAAAAACAAAAAGTTTAGATAGCAAAAAAAGTAAAGTTTCTAACCAAAAATATTTGAAAAGAATCCATGTACACAGCGATATGTTTTAACTTAAAATAAAATCACAGAATTGCACAATCTATGCAGCGAAGGAATCTACGAACTACGCACACCTAGCTTAAATAAATTAACATAACAACAATAAATTTGAAAGAATACCATGTACACAGCGTTCTGTTTAAACTTAAAAAACCATTTACTGCACAATCTAGGCAGCGAAAGAGTCTACGAATTACACACACCTCGCTTTAATAAATTTACAAAACAACAATGAATTTCAATAATACCGTGTACCGTTCTGTTTCAACTTTAAAACACATCTACGAATTGCCCAATCTAGGCATTGCGCACTAATCAACAAAATAATCTAAAATAAATTTCAAACAATTCAAAAAACAACAATAAAACAGAAATTCATGCTAAAAAACAATGAACATAACATTCTACTAAATAAGAACATGAATAAAATAAAATGCACTTACCATGAGTGAATGCTTCTTCGAACAGCAGAAATACTAATTTCATGCCGCCTTTAACATGCCGCCAAGTAATCACTATCGTATTAATCTCACAGCCAGATCTACTATTCACAAAATTGATACTATCTTTCACAAATAAATGTTCAAAAACCTTCTTTTCCTAAATCCTTGCAGGATTTCCAGCCATCCGAAAAAATACTTGTACCAGGCTTTTCATATCTGCTCCGCATTTCGGACATGCCAAACTCCGCTGCAGAAGTGCTGACTCCCATAAAAATTTCAAAAATACACTTCGATCCGCATAAACACACTCGTGAACAAAAGACTCTTTAACAACATCGTACCATTTAATACTAAATTTACTTTGCACACATCTAAAATACACGACTGAAATTTTCCCACCACGTCTTTCATTGCAATATTCCATTTCAAAACGTGCACGACACGAACCAACGAGCTAATAAAACCACTGCAGTGAAAGTGTAAGTTTCAACGTCAAAAGGGTTGCCATACAAACAACATCGTCCCCAAAACCATCGCAGTACACGCAATCGCGCCAAAAACCACCTCAGAACACATATTGCCACATTTGACGGCCTGAGGGCGAATTTAAGAGTAGTACCAAAATTTCGATAGAAAATAGGCTAATTCTCTCTCGTTATATCAGCAACAATGGCATACGATTTTAACGATTTTCGCCTTTCTAATTAAATGGTCGTAAAGGCTAAGTTCCATCCAATATTTCACATATATTCAGTCTTAGTCGATTAAATGTGGCAAAAAATTTATCATAATTAATCAGAAATCAATAACGCGAACAAACTTACACACAAACAGGCATTCTTCTTTATACACAAATTATATATATATATATTTATATATAGATAGATTTTGTAAAATTTACAAATTTTTTATTAACAAACTCTACGATTTGAAAGCGAGCAGTAGCAACAATTTTCGGAATAAAGCATTTTTGTCTCCAACTCGCTACACTGTTGCCACTCGGAAAAATGAGTGCTGATTAAAGTCGTACGAATATGGGAATATCCGAAATGGCTTCCCACGAATTTTCGGAATCGAGAATAATGTATTTAATGTTTGACAATGCTATTTTTATTTCATCGTAAAACTTGGAAATTTTTTATTAACAAACTCTGGGATTTGAAAGCGAGCAGTGGCAACACTTTTCGAAATAAAGCATTTTTGTCTCCAACGCGCGACACTGTTGCCACTGGGAAAAATTAGTGCTGATTAAAGTCGTACGAATATGGGAATAGCCGAAACGGCAACCCACGAATTTTTGGAATCGAGAATAATATATTTAATGTTTGGCAATGCTATTTTTATTTCATCGTCAAGCTTGGAAATTTTTTATTAACAAATTCTAGGATTTGAAAGGGAGCAGTGGCAACAATTTTCGAAATAATGCAGATTTTCAACTCCAGCTTGCGAAGCTGTTGGTGCAATCCGAAGAGAAAACGTATGCCCTTAAGTTATGTTATTTGCTATTGAATTAAATATGTTCTCAGATTATGTTTTCATTATATTTTTGTACATTTATTTGTCAAATCCAAATAGAAAATGTATGCCCTTAAATTATGTTATTGTTATTGAATTATGTTCGTCCTTAAACTATGTTATCGTTATAACACTTATGTCCAGATTTTATGTCCTTTAAAAATATTTATTATGTAGTTTTAGAGATCTAAGACTATTTTATGAAAACATTTTCTTTTGTATTGTATATTGTAAAATTCTCTATCTAATTCCTTTACTTTTGCATCACTATAATTTTCAAAAAACTAAAATAATTATTCCTAGCATTCTCTTCTTCTTCTCTCTCTCTCTCTCTCTCTCTTTTTTTTTTTTTTTTTTTTTTTTTTTTTTTTTTTGTTTCATTCCTAATAGCTTCGAATTTACACCGTCGAAGATCATTTACATGGACCCCCTTCATATATATATCTTTCTTTGAATTTATTCATATAGAGTAGTGCTCTAAAACTCAAATTCGATGCGACCCAAATGTACGAAGTGAAAGCAACTGACGGAAAAACTGTTTTTATCTTAATGAAAAGGTGAATATGAGGGGACAGTGGACGATGGTTTTAGCAAAAATCCACCAAACATTTGGAAATAAAAATTTAATTTAAAGATGGTATAAGCATTTGCATATGTTTGTTTACCTTTTTTGTGACATTTAAAGGGACATTTAATCCCTTAATCTACAATGACGGGCATAGCCCGCGTACGATGGTCGGGCCAGAAGTGAATATTACGTGGAATATTTGATAGGCAATTACAGTCTGATGCAATAATTGTGGTAGACGCAAGTATTACAAAATATTTATTTATACAGAACTCCAAAATACAAAATTAGTAATCTGTAACTGTATGATATATTTCAAAGCATTCTGGTACATGTAACGGAACTTTACACTTTTTTCACTCGTGTTCTATGTGGATTTTCTCGTACATCTAATATTTGATGACATACGATTTTCTCGTATGTCATCAAATATTAGATGAAATATATCAAATTCTCCTCTACTTCCTATTAATTGACATAAGACTTCCTCTCTTATGCCAGGTATCATCGTAAAGACCCAGATTTTTGGACTATTTCTTATTTCTTTCCAAAGCCAGGACTCTGGTAGTTGATCGTCATCGGATGTATCATCAATAATTATTCGCCTATACTTTCTTCGAAAATTACATAATTCGTCATGTTTACGATTGCCCGGATTAGCGTGTTACACAAGTCGTGCAAATGTCTCGAAAGCTGCGCGAGCTTGTATACAATTTCGGCCCAACATCTTCGAATCTAAATCATAGGTTAAAGGAGTTAAATGTCAGTAAAAAGGTAAACAAACATTTGAGAATCGCTATTTTAATTTCTGCGACTAATACTTTTTACTATTAGTAAGATATAAATGTGTAAAATATGAAGACCGCAATTTATGCAAGTTCACTCCTCTTCCACGGATGACTCACCCAGACATTACAAATGCTTTTAGGTGTTATATCATGTTTTTTCCTCTCAAGTAGCATTGCCAAAAAGAAGAAACCTAAGTCTCATTCAGTGATCAAAACCAAGTTAACAGTAGATGTTCTACCCAAAATACTGCCATTGTATCAAAGACTAGCCAGTAATGAACTTTTAGGAAGATGCATATCTGGAGAAACGCAAAACACTAAAGAGAGTTTACGTAAAGTCATTTGAAAGAACCGCCTTAGAGAAACATTTGTATTGAAAACAGACTCGAAATAGCTGTTATCACAGCAATTAGTAACTTCAATTTTGAGTGTTTAAATACTTTAAGTATGGAACAGGAAGATATAAATGCACGTTCAATATCTATTGGGCAAAGGCAAGACACGCATCGTATAGACCAATACAAAAAGCGGTGTTCGTCTGGATACAAGAAAAGAAGAATTGCCAAAAAAACTCTGTAATAATAATGACAATGTAAATTAATTAATAAATAATGATAATGTAAATTAGGTAGAATAGTAATGACATGGTAATAATAATGACAATGTAAATTAGGAAGAGGAAACATTAGCTTAAAATTAAACTGCATATGACTATAAAATAAGCCAGCATATAATAATGGTGTATTGGGTTAATTCTATATGTTTTAAAATTGGATTACAAACTAGATTAAAGTAATGTTTCAACCATGCATATTTTGGACAAAACTATGCAAACTCTTATTTTTATTTAATTTTTCAAACTATTTAATAGAAAGTTTAAATTAATAAAAAAAACTGAATATGGTATACTTATAGCTCTGTATTTCAATTGTTAATAAATATTTGGATAGCAAGGCAAATCAGATATTTAAAAACACATCTACTGAGATATACATATAATTCATGACTTGAACGGTAACAACTCATAAAGTTGAAAATAGCTAACACATTTAACTGTCAAAATGACAAAAAATAGCATGAATTCGAACCGTAATTAATGACATAAATAACATAAATGACATAAATTCGAG